TTTTCTCACTGCTCAAATTGACTTTGATGACATGAAATTGCTATGTGGGGGCTTGTTAGTCAATACAGAGGAAAATTAATGAACTTCGTATATGGAAATCTTTCCAGGCAACTTATTCAAACAGTTCAAACAACTTATTCAAACCAATGGCCTCCGTGCACAAGTTCACGTGTACCCCCCTCAAAGGTAAGAAGGGCGAGTGGGGGAGACCAACTGGAGCTGACAATCGAAAGCATTGCCGAAGATGCTTGACGCTCTCACACGAAGACACCCTCACCTGAAGACGCCATGGGTTTGTGCACATTCAGTATAAAATAAGTCGTGCGCAAATTTGAGCTTTTCGCATGCCACAACAAGTACGTGCGCAGTACGCCCCGTCCAAGAGGCTCTCATTAGTGGTCAAATAGCGCCCTCTCTTGTTTATGCATGGAGCCCATAAAATGGCTACATAAAGTTTTGCAGTACGGTTGTGTGAAGCTTTCACTTGCTGTAAAACACTAACAAGTAACATTGTGTCACGATTTTGACAAATGCAACCAGCGAAAATTGGACAACAGTCATGACAGTCATACTTTAACTGTCCAATTGCCTTTCTAAAGGCTATTGGAACATGTATTTAAACTCAATTTATATCCTGAATACATTTTTTTCCCTACTTGTTTTAAAAAAAACCTGGGCAATGTCTCTTCTGTAATCATCCGTATATATACGAGCTGCTCACAAACATGACAAATAACACAAGTAAACCACAAAACTATTGCAACATTTGCAAGGTTTCAAATACTCTCTGACAAAGCGACAGTGCATTTTAAATGCAAACAAAATCCAACTAATTCCTCCCCTGTACGAATGCTATTGCAGAACTTACCATACATGATGTAGTCATGACAAAACAAATATAAATTCATAATTTGACACCTCACATCATAAAAAATTACTACAATTACATTTTTCAATATTATTTCATCAGAATGCTTAAATGCTACAGCAGTCATGGCAGTCATGGTACTAGTACTAGGCTGTGATTTCAAAACAGTGTCAGTGACAAGCTACCGGTAGGGGTCATATAAATTATCCAGTTTTCATTCACGTCCATAAAATAATTCCCATTTTCCCAAATATTAAAAAAAATCTTTCCGTTTTAAATTATAAAAATAAAACTAAAGTTTTCACCTACCTAAATCATTCGTAACCGAATAGCCACTGACTTCAATCTCTTCGTGCTGACCTAGCGGTTGAAAATCTTTCTTGGACGGTCGCTGATTTCCTCCATGACCATGTCCTCCCTCGACTGTTTTCCTCGAATCCCTTTTCCGCGTTTGCTGTAGCTCCATCTCCATGTCCATTCCTGATGTTGCACCAAATACTGCAGCAGCGACTGCCATAGTGATACGTGTACACTGCGGTAATATCTATTTCATGCTCATGATGGTTTGTGAAATGTTTTATACAGTCAGTGCCTAGGCTATTGCCTAGCAGCCTGCATGCATGCACATAGGCGAATTATTTTAACAACTCAGCCACCTAACTCTAAACCAATGCTCTATTCAACGATTTACGTGGAAACTCACAGGCAATTTCCTCTATGGCATCTGATTCATGTTGCTCCTGCCGCATCTACATGTACACATCACGGATTAAACGAACGATTCACGCCGAAGAAATCGCGCATCTTCAACGAGATGAAGATGGCGCGCTTGTTGTTTATGTTGCTCATCTTTTCATCGCGATCACGTTGAGGCAGTTTCTTTTTTGAACGTGTAGTTCGGTACCGCTTGGTGGCGTCTTGAGGATTTCCACGGACCATTTCCATGATTCCTCATCATGCATCGTGCACGATCTTACGACTGAGCTGATGTGGTCTCGGCAGGACGGTTGGTTCAGTTGCATTTGTTACATGTACGTTTGAAGATTTGTCATTATGGAAGGAAAGAGAAAGAATCAGTATCTAATTAACACAACTTCAGCACGTCAGGCCAGAAAATCGTTGAAGATCTCCATCATATCACCACCCCCATTGCATCAACGTTAAAATATGCTACTGGCATGTGTTATTTTTTATGATAGCAAAGATATCATGCAATCATTAGTTTTTCCCAAACATTATTATGCAATCAACCATTTAGCAAACATATTTTTCAACCCTCCCCCTTCTCAACCAACTTTTTACTATACCTTTAATCAGTGCAGTTTCTTAGTTTTCAGTTTTCTACAAGTTTCAGTTTCTTCTCATACTTTCCTTTTCTCACATTAATTCCACCTTTACTTAAATTCATCTTCATCAATCTATTAGCGATGATTAATCTAGAGCAAATATTATTAAGTAAACTTTTATTATATTGCCTTTTTATAAGCCGATTTCTTCTTTTTTTTATCGGGATTCATAATTATTCTGTAATAACTTCAAGTGTCATTGCAATTCCACGGCCACACGGGGGCGCTCTTTATCAGGACCGTTGTTTGTTCGTCAGCCTTTCTATATTTACCTCAGTTCGCATCTGTCAATGTATTTTCTCAATATTTTTGTTATTGAGTCGTTAAAAATAGACTAATATCTTCGGTAAATTATATTTATATATGTATATATATATTAAATATACGTTTTTGTTATAACTTTTAAACTGTTAGGCGTATATTAATCTGTTCACATTGAAACGCAATTGTCCGTGAGATCGAGAGAAACGATTCTTGATTTAATTTAAAAAAAAAAAAACAGTTTCCGGTGAGTCCGGTCTAGTTATACTAGAAATGAACATTATATCCATTGAAGAATTATGATTTTTTTCTCAAGTTATAAAAGACGATGGGAATTTCCTGCACTTCAAGTTTGTGACTATAGCTGACATTTACAGACAAATTGCTCATTTCACCGCGGAATTGAATCGTCATCCCCAGCTTCATCTTATACTTTTCCGTTCTATTTACGTTGGTTCAGATCTGTCAACATAATTATTTTCTCAATATTCTTAATATTGTTTAGAATGTCGTAAAAAAACAGAAACGACTATCTTTGGCTTATTTATATATTATTTACAATATTTTGTTTAAATATACCTTTTTGTCATAACTTTTAAAGTGTTTTAATATTAATACATCTGTACATTGAATCGCAATTCGGTCTGTCTGAAGGTGAGAGATTTAATAAATAGTAAATAAATTTGTCAGTAAGACAAACAATCTTAAAGCCAACCAATCAACTGTTGTCAATGATGAAGGCAAAAATTCCAACGAAATGGTATGATTCAAATTTACTGGGTGCGCGTGAAAAGTATCCAAAGCGCCCCCGCCCCCCCCCCCCCCCCGGTCTGAGTATCACTCCATGGAGGAATAAAAACACATTGTTTTTGCCTCCGTGGTCCAACGGATCCCTCTCTGTCCCCGGCCTAATCAAGGGGATATATTCCATGATCCACAGACTACCCCCGCCCCCCGCCCCCCCCGGCCCCCCCCCCCGAATATTTTTGAATTTGTGTACAAAGTAAAAAAAGAACCTTACAAATGCAAGCAGGCCGGGGGGCTATTGAGAGGTCCACAAAACCACAAGATTTTTCAATAACTAGTCTCATTAACATGCATAACGTGGTCATACCATTCCTCCATGGTCATACTAGCCTAATCGGATTTGGGAAATCTTTTGTGGGCCTAATTAGCTTATAACAACTATTGTTTATTGACATTTAAAGCACAAATGTCAACACGATTATTCACTATAAAGAGAAACGACTCTTGATTTTGGAAAGAAAGGAAGAAAAAATGTGTGACTCACGTCACGCAACCTTTTGTTAACTTCCGGTCTCCTTTGACCAGAAATGAACGTCATTCGTTGACGGAAGAATTGTTATTTTTCCCTTCATATTTTCAAATAAACCACGATGGGAATTCCCGCACTTTGTGATACCATGGGCATGCTCTAACAATACAGCCAGGGACAGACACTTACAGACATCGCTCATTTAATTTCACCGGAATCGAAAAATGGCATACTTTATGAGCGCTACATATTTTTGGCTTGACGACTACCTGCAACCTCGTCCCCAGTGCTTACTTTATTTCCAACCGCGTTTCCAATAGTAAACCCTGGATAGGAAACTTTCTTCCTGTATCCTGATTGGATACCGCAATTGGCTTGTAATGGATTTTTATCGTGTACTTGGTGCTATATATTCACAACGTGCAGTACGTGTTTTTGCGATCATTCGTCCACGCCTTCTCGAAAATACTAATTTCCTTTCCAATTTGCTCATATTAATATGAATATGTTACTGCATGTTGTCTCGATAAGATCGTAACAGTTTGATTTCAAAAATCGTGTTTTCGTAACTCACGCCGTGCTCGCGCTGCTACGAATTGACTCTGTTTTTACCCCAGACACCCCATACAAAAACAAACGCTAGTGTGTAACGCATATCCAGGCACCAGACTGTTCCTCATTTGCATACGTGTGCAAAAATCTTGCACATGCAAATGATCCAATAGACCGCTTGCAGACGCGTTCGATAATCGACGCGCGAAGGCGCGCGACGCCATGTTGTGGGTCAAGCGCATATCTATCCATGCACATTTTGTCCCACAACATGGCGTCGCGCATCTTCGCGCGTCAATTATCGAACGCGTCTGCAAGCGGTCTATAAGGGTGAGAGAGCAGGTAGTGATGGGCGCGTACTGCTCGACACCCTGGAGACGAGGTTGGACTACCTGCTGATAACTCACTCCACCCCCCACCCACACAGATTGAAACGTCGACCCTTGAACTCAATAAATAGCTGAGACCCTAACGGACATAATCGATTTGTATCAGGACCGATAATTTGAGTCCTCATAACTGAAACAATATGTGACTACAAACTGATAATTTTGTAAAGTTTTACTGAAAGTAAATTGTACAGACTTTGTTGCGTACTTCGCATATGATTTTTTCTAATAAATTAGGTTTTTAAAATTAAAATGCTTCATAATCATGAAGAGCCGATTATTGTGATCATCGGCAAGTATCGATTATTCAACAGACGAGCATGAATCATTTACAACACGTACGTTGAACATTGTTGAAGTTGCGAATTCCAACTGTCAGAAATGGCGAGGTTTACTCCAGGATAAACCTGTTTCTCGATCTGTAGAGTTAAAAAAGAAGATAAAATGGATCCTTCAGAACATACCAGGTGCAAAATGGTGGCGTTACTGGTCATTTTCTGCGTGTGTTTTGGTAAGTAAATCGAGTAGGTTTTTTTTTCACACCGTACACACTCATGACACTGCACTGCTTGCTTGTGGATTTTTACGCGAAGGCCAACCCACGGCCCTCACGACCGTGGTGTCGTCTGCCGCGCCGCCAGACAACATGCCAGAGGCTGAGCGTGGAGAGAAAGCAGGCACCACGTTCTCCCCATAGCTAAACTTGCGATAAACAGCTCTGACATTTTTAGCCTGTCAGAGTGTCATATGAATGGAAAGAAAGATTCCCATATCTGGCCATCACTATCTTCCCCCTTCTACCACCAGCCATCAGAGAGTGATATGTCCTAAAAATTAGTCATAATTAATAGCAGGGACAAATTTTGAATTTTTTACTGAGAAAACACTTGGAAATTTTCAGACCAGTCCAATAGGGTTTGTGCACAGGGTGACAAGTGATGGCCAGATATGGGAATCGGAGTAATTGCAGAATACCCCGCCACTCGGAAATACACCCCTAAAATCACTGGCTACGAGGTTGGAATCACTGCAAAAGAAACAATTCAAGTCCATTGCCAGCTACGCGGATACTGAGTGGGGGTCCATTATTTGAGAACGAAGCAACACAAAATGAATGGGAGTTGCTGAAAAAATTCTAAGTCCAAACCAACCACCCTGTTGGCGGCTACGAGGCTACGGAGTGGGAGTCCCCTTGAATATGCTTGAGAACGAAGCAACACAAAAGGAATGGGAGTTGCTGAAAAAATTCTAAGTCCAAACCAACCACCCTGTTGGCGGCTACGAGGCTACGGAGTGAGAGTCCCCTTGAATATACTTGAGAACGAAGCAACTTTCCGAATGGACATGATGGAACTTTGAATTGAAGAAGAGGTCCCGGGAGCATGGGGAGTGTAACTCAAATTACAATTGGAAAAAATGTTGCAACCTGACGCCACTTTTTTTTCATAGTCCCTGTCATCTCAATGAACTTGTGAAGGTCATTCATTGCAAACATGATATTAAAGACATGAATCTGGAACTGAGATTGAGAAACATTTCCAATGTTGTTAGGAAGTACTTAAAAAATTGCTTGACTCTCCATAGACTTTGTACACAATTGCGGAAGTGGCGTCAGGTTGCAACATTTTGTCTGTTTCTCAGATGTCACTTCCTTTTTTGCAAAAAAAAAAAACACACCTAAAACTCAGCCTCAGGATCAGGATCCATGAACAGTGATAAGCTAGAAAGAAAAGATTTTAACGGCTACTTGTACAGTCATTTTCCTAGTTCCGGATTTTTCCTAGTTTCGGATCGCTTCAAATAAAAACCTACCTCTTTTGGATTAGTCTCCAATAATTTTTTTTCTGACGATGTGCATTTTGAGAAGAAAAATGTAAGCTCCTTGATACACAAAGATTTTCCCGATAAAATATTTAGAAGAGGAATTTTGGCCAGATTTCCGACTCGCACTTCGACATGTTTGGACGGTTTGTAGAAAATCACGGGCGCTGCGAATCGACGATAAATTTTCTCCTCGGTATATCACCTGTACCGTGTGATTTCGAATATTTTGTTCATACACTACAGTTGTATAAACTCTTGCATCGAATGCTTGTTGAATCAAAATAAGTTGTAAAGTCTCTAAGTTTTGAAAATTTGCCAACGAATGACCGTATGCTTTTGCCTAGTTCCGGATAGTGTGTGCACTTACGACCCAACTACACGCACGTTAATCGGTTTTGTGTGACGTGTCAAAGATTTTCGGTCGGTGCGTGAGTTCGAGCTGTTGCGCTGCAGACAAAAGTTTCAAAATCATTTACGTTTTTTTCTCTTTTTAAAATTTGCTGGAATTCTCTTGAATGAACTATTTTTGGAAAGTGAAATAATTCTTTATCAGACAATATGCTTGATTCGGTTGGTTCTGGCTGAAAAAAAAAGATCATTTTTTTTTTTTTCGCGTGAAGCAGTTTTGATCGATTCGGAACTGATTGAACCGATCCGGATCTAGGAAAAGTGACATCGGTACTTTTGACGTCGTGAAATCAAAATAAAAAGAGCTTAAATTTTGATGGCCTCTCCATCACTCAAGGTAAACTTTTTAATCAATGTCACTTGAATTCGTGGAGTAGTTGTGCCGAAAGCAGCCTGAATGATGTTTGCTATCCGGAACTAGGAAAATAACTACGTATAGTTACGGAATTGCAACATAACATTGGGAAACTGAGATTTTAAATTTCTCCAGCGATTGAAGCACTAAATGTGTGTTTAATGCCGAAAGTTCTGAGTTCGATTCCTGCAATTGAAAATATTTACCAGTAGCTTCGTTCATATCTCTGGACTTTGGAAAAATTTCTACAGTAGACGTTCGTATGGGCTCTATTCCTACTTTTTATTGAATTTGAAGGATTAATTGTTCTTTCTGATTCATTGCTCTGAAGGTTGTTTTCTTAAAGGGAAGTACATTGTACTTAAAAGTATGAGACCCATTCAGTTGACAACTGATGTATGTGCGCAACAGTTGACTTCCTTAAACATAACAATAACGTTGTTTTTTCCTCCATAACGAAATCAACTTCAACAGAAAGAAGAATTACATGTAACTTAGCAAGTCAAAGGGATAGTCCAATTTTCTTTGTGAACGTTGTAGATGACCTGCATTTTACTTCTTTAGTTTTCACTTTCATCAGCAAGAATGTTTCTTATCAGTCCCAGCTTCTTAAATCTTGATAAAACTTAAAAGCCATGATTTTTGTGGACGTGGATTGAATGTTTAACAGATTCTTAAATTTGTTACTTGAAACCAGTCTGCTATGGCACACAAGGAGATAAACTTTGACCAATATCAATGGATCAGTCGATCTTTCATTGTAGGAATGAGAATGTTTCTGTGTAAAATGTTCAGCATGGCCAGAATTTTAAGGGTTCAATCTGCAAATAAACGAGGGATGTTCAACGAAAAATCAAAGAATGACTAAAGACTGCCCAAATTACAGTAGTGTATGTGTGTGCATGTCAAATGGCTTCACTGTAGTTTCTGTTACGTTGTTACATGTATGTCTGTTAGGAAAAAATCTAACCCAAATAAAAAAAGAAAAGGGAAATAAAAAACTAGACAAAAACAGAAGATAAACCTGCATTGGCAATGTTCATTAAACCATTGGAGCTACTCAGGAAGTTATTAATCCTCAAATACTTCCTGTACAAATTCAGGTTGCATTTTAACAGGAAATTGCGAACTGTTGTATTGTATTCAGTCACTGAGCCAATTAACCTTTGTTTGCTTTTACCATGCTTTTGTTGGAATACTTACACAGTTTCGTTTGGACCATGGGTGACAAAAGTTTTACTCAGTAAAAATGTCCATGGCATATTTTGGTGACGCATAATGTACATGTAAGGTACATGTAGCTGAAAACGTCACTTACAAAACATGTTTTGTTTATAAATGACTAATTGTAAGGTTAAATCTCTAAAAGTCGATAACATACATATAGAGCAGTTTGATTTATAAATAAACATCCTGTCTGAGAAAAACAGCTACATACACGTAAGCAAGTTTTGTTTCTTAATTTCTTTTTTTTTAACCTGGTTAATGCTTGGGGTTTACAGGTGTGGTAAGGTTTGCATACAAATGTACATGTACTTGTACTTTGGAACTATCAAGACATGCTTAAACTTTGCACCGTACATGTACATACATTTTGTACATAAACAAGCACACAGTTTGAACATGTACACAGATTAATCTCTATAATTTGCTAGATATTATGATTATTTTCAATTGTACCCAAACTTTTAGACATCATTATAGTTCCCCTTTGGGCTCTTTTGAAAATTAGTACTTCTGAATTTTACTGGCTGCTTTAGATACAAAACAAATGTAGTAATGAACTTTTAAAAGAAAATCATTGAATAGGAGAGGAAATACCAATTTTTAATATTTGGATCATTGTACATTTCGTTAGACAACAAAAACAGCAGCAAGACCGTATAAAAATACAACTGGCCGCATACAATTTGTCACATATCCAGCCAGGTTTAGTTTATTTTTGCTCCATATTGAAGTATTTTAATCAGTTCTTCAGTTACATAACATGCATAGTTTACAACATTAACAAACAATTTGTATTATTAAGTAAGACTTAAGAAGTTCTATTCTGTTTAAACATGTTTATTTTTTGGCACTGCGTGTATATTATTTCACTGCGAGTCAGTGCCAGCTACCGGTTAATAATTAACAGTTGCAATAATGAGCGTTGTATGTCGGCAACCACTTCACTGATGACATGTATTCATTAGCGGACAGGCGCGCCAGATATTTTCAACCGTATCAGAAGTGTTGACAGTCTGTTAATAAATAACCAGGGTTCTGAAAACGCAACTACTAAACCTGTCCCTCTCTCGCTGTACATTGACAAAGACAGATTTTATCTGGTATTGCCTCACACAACAAACAGAAGTAGATGTTGAAATGTAGTAATTTTTTTACTGTAAATATTTGTCTGTCAAAGATTGGGCCTCACCTTTTTCAACAGTCTGAATTCTGAAATGGCAAGCTCATTATTTTCTGTGTGTGCATACACGCATGTTTATGTGTACTTTTCTATACTTCTGTTGAATCTTTCTTTATTGATGACTAATTGAAAGATATACATGTAGTCCATCATTTGTAATTTGTGCATTTTGTTCGTTTGAAGCAACAAAAGTGCTCAAAATCTAAAGAAGGGTACTGAACAACTAACCTGATGAAGTTTGAGCTCAGCTTCAGCTGTATATTCCGAGAAAAACAGCATTCTAGGATCTCAATTTTAAATCAAAAGTTGCTGAATCATGTTTTGAATTGCGCCTGAATTCAGCGTCCAAGACACGTTCTCACTGAGCCGATTGCAGCTACGCGATGTTGCGCACTGATCCGACGAATTATAGCAACCGGGGGTGCGTGTGCGTCGTGCCAATGCTTGCGCGCGCTTCGCTGAATAACAAAACAAACTACTAATTTAAATTTTCCTACGGTGCGTCTTAAGAAGCACCGTTGGAAAGGCCTTCTTTCGTTGATTGCTTCAAAATGACAGCTTGCCAGAAAGAATAATTTCACAGGGAGTTTAATTCCCTTACTATCTTTCAAACAAGTATGTTTTTCAAAAATAATTACGCCAGCTACTTTTCAGATAGCTGCAAATGATGGACATGTAAAACTGTACATTTAGCTTATAAACGTATTGAATGTGGCTTTAATGATTCAAATCAACAACTAACATGTATTTTTCTTGAAAAAAAAATTGGCAACACATCTGAGCTTGTTTTCCCATACTTGTTTTTCCTGTGACACAGGTCTTTGATTATGACCTCACCCCTTGTACAAAATGATATTTAAGAGTCCGATGTGGTTTTTGGTTACTGAGTGTTTTCTAAATGTTTACACATTGTGGGAACTGGAAGAATAATACATCATGTGACGTGATATCCTGAGAATAAACCAAGGTGTCTGCCTACAAGAATTTCTGATTTACTGTAGCATACATGTACACATGTACATGTAGACATACATGTATATGTACTCCAAGGAATGCAAGGAGTGCATGTACGTATGCTGAAACCAATTGTGAAAATGTTACTGTCTGCTCAGAGTTATTCAAACTAATTAAAAAAATTCTTTGCCATTGATAGAATGCACAAGTACAAATGTACATGTACATGTACATGTAGACTATAATTCATTCAGACATGTCTTTTTGAAAATAAACATGGTTTAATTAGTTGCCTAAATTGCCTTTGTATTGTAATTGGAACGAATTAAAGAGGACCTTTTTCATTTTATGAAGAGTATGTGTGTTCAAAAATCAGCAGTTTTCTATTTCCCATTTCTTCATTTCTGCATCCAACTGTAAGCAGGTTACAAATGAAGTTTTAACCATTGCATGTTTTTTCTTTGTTTATATACTTGACACAGGGTCCTTCCACCCATCACTAGCCCAGGACACCCCTGCAAGCAAAGTCTACTTCAATGTCTCATCAACTGTAACTATCGGCACAGTACTAGATTTACAGAGCCCGCTAGGAACGTGGCTGAATTTCAGAACTTGTGATGAAGGGGAAATTTTGACCCAGACGGGCTTCAATGGAGACACCTTCACTCTGTCCGTTACCCCTTCTGGCTACATCAGAGCTGCTTGGACAGTTGGGGCAATTTCAAAGTCCGCAGAAGTCGGACCAGACTACGCAACCAACAGCAAATGGGTGCTTTTAAGTTTGCGATACATTTTAGGAGGCATTGTGTTGACCGTTGACAGCAACTTAATAACACTCGCGTCAGCTTCGCTAAACAGTGAACTTTTTGAAATTGACCTGTCCGGCGGTGGTGATGAGGTCGTCTTAGGGACTGATTTTGTGGGTTGCATGGAGCAAGTTACAGGGCTGCCGCTGGATAGCGCGACGAGTTGGAACAACGTAAACTGGGGTGTCTGCCCTCTGGAATTGCAGCAAGGGTGTCGTAAGTAGTCAATGTGATGCTGGTGTGACCTTATGATGAGGTCATCTTCCCATATTATGGGAACGGGAATCAGAGCTAGATGTAGCAATGAGTTTAATTTTAATTGTCAGAAATATTTCATCAAATATTAAAGTGCAGAACTTCAGGTGAAAAATGGGGAGGGGGGAGGGAGGCAACCCCAAAAAGTGGAAGGCATCATTGTTTCAACGTGAAAAAGGAATTAAGCAACTGAGGGGATTTTAGAAACAGGGGAGGGAGAAACAAATCATGGGTAAAAGAAACGGCAGTTAAAACATCCTGGGAAAACTGAAACACATTGCCAATCCTTTGGTTTGAATTGGAGTTGCGAAGATTGATAGGCCTATAGAATTTGTGTGACCAATAACACCGCCATGGAGTTATGAAAACAAGTATTCATTCATTCATCATGTCATTACCACTTCATAATGGGCAAATCTTACAAGCGAATGGAATCTAAATAAACTTTATATATATAACTTGCAATGTTAAACATGTTAAATATCATGGTCCATGACTTCACACATTATGCAGTCATTCTGCCCGCTTTGCTACCTTGGGCTGTTGTGCTCGCTCTTTTTGTAGCCATTTAAAAAAAACAAGTTTTAAGCACAACCCTTCTGAGAACTCTAAAACCAATTTTCTTTCTGCAAATGTGCCTTTCTGTTCCATTTGAAAATCTACGAGTCTATTCCTCTGGTTTGACCTTTGACGCAATATTATCATGATATAGTTTTGAGAAATTACAGCACTCATACATGTATTACATGTACATTGTAAATATATGCATGATGTTGGTACTATTTTGAGTTGTTGGACATTTCATTTCTTTCAGTTAAAACCAAATTTTATTCAGAAGTGCTGTGTTTTGTTTCGATGTTTTGTGCATAATCTCAAGCTAGCATTTTCACTCTTTTATTTTCTTCCTTGAAGTTTCCTTTTTCAATTGTTAATCTGAAAATCTAACACTGACTTTTATGCCATCACTGCACACAATCGCCGCCATGTGGGTTCCTAAATGACTGCAAATCCACCATTTGATTTTCTGGAAAATTTCATTCTAAATCAAAATCCACGAACTCAGGACTGATCAATTTTCCATTGTCAAACATTGAAAATTCTTGTGCGGTAAGACGTGAGCTTTACAACATTTGGTCTAAGAAATGTTTATGAAAAGCTTTGGAAAGTGACCTATGAAACACATTTTGATTGGAATTCAAGACAAAAACTCTTTGGTTAATTAGCAAGGAAGTACAGGCAAAGTCATCAGAAATTACTTGAATGGACAAATCCATCGGAATGCTCATTCCGAATAGTCTTGGAAACTTGAAAAAATCAAAATGTAGCCTTACAGAAATTGTGATACGGAAAATGCAGGGAGGTGAAAGTTATTGAAGAATATTGGTATCTTGCATTGATGAGTTCTTTGGAAATTGGAATACAAAGGACATTGACAAAGCTCCATTGGTACTTTGCATTCGTTTTTACAGCACCGCCATTATCGCACCTTTCTTTTGGTTGAGTCTTGATGAGATTGTAAAATTGGAAGTCATAACTTGACCACCATTGAATAGTCTTTTGATGTTTGTCACAATTTGACAGACATGAAGGAATGAAGTTTGAATGAGACACAGTAAGAGTGTTGAGCAGAAATATTGTCAACGTGTCTCTGAATTTTCAGTACCAATCAATTTTCAGTGATCAGTGATTCTCCAAAACTGATCTCATCAAGCCTCATCTGTATGTAACTTCACTGCTCCCCTATCCCTTTCTACTAACTCCTCTGATTCTGGGCGCAGTGTCAAGGAGCTGCTTAGACAAACAACATTGCTCAGCATAGCTTAATTAGTATTAATCAGCTGAGAACCTTTCACAAGGCATGCATTGCATACACTTTTGGCCGGTATCCTGCTTTTTCTCAGCAAATAATTTCTGTGCTAAGCAATTTTCTTTGCTTCGGAGCTCCATGAGATTTGCAACCCCCCCCCCCCAGGTATGCCCCTTGAAAATGTTGTGTGTTCCAACTGATTTTGTTTTTCTTCTTTAGAGCCTTCAGCGTGCAATGATCCATGCTATACACTTCCGTGTAAAAACAATGGTGTTTGCTCTAGGAACGCTCAGGCACCGTGCGGATACTTGTGCGATTGCACGGCCCGTTACGATGGTGTAAATTGTGAACTTGACAAAGGTACATGTACATACACAACATGCAGATTAGAAAGCAGACAAAAAATGCAAGCTAGATATGCACTGTAGAAGCAAACAAGAAACATGGGGCAATTCCTTAGTAGTTTACTAACATTGCATAGGAATATGGTGGATTTAGCCTTTAAAAAAGTCAATTTTTCTGGTGGGGGCTAGGTTTTCTAACTGAAGGAACCATGGTTTGAAATGACTAATTTATCCAACTTTTAGTTTGGACATTTTAGACATTCACAATATACGTACCTCTCTGAGAATACTGAGAAAAAAATGTAATCTTCAGGACGTCCAGGTACATGTTCCGGTACATGTTGCTCATTTATACTAAAGAAGGCTGTCTAAAGGATTAAAGAAGAGCAAATCTGTAAATGAAACCCTGTTGCACTGTAGGCCTCTTGTAGTATTTATGTAAGGCCAAAAAAAAAATAAGTCGGTCTCTGGTCAGCGCGCGCGTCGATTTTAATCATGCGCGTCGATCTTTTTTTTTTCTTCAAAATGTTCCACGGTAGCTCCAACAGCGCCCTCTATTTCCGCACCTCAATTTTTTTTACCAAAGAGCACCAAGGAATGGGAAATTGCACCAAGGCAAATGATCGAAAGCACCAAGGCAAATTATGGAGGACACCAATGTACATGAGGACACCAGAAAAGCAAAATAGTACCCCACCTTGTCTGTACAATCCAAGCTTGAAAAAAAAAAAAAGCCGCGTGGCCGTGTCAACTCCAGAAGTTTGGTCTGACCAGAGACCGAATATTTTTTTTTTTTCGCCTAACAGGTGTGCTGAAGAGTGTGAGGAGTGATGTTACGGTGCAAACAGTCAGGAAAAGTACTCCTGTATCTGACATATTTGACTGTGAAATTACCGCAGCTTTTTATACTCCAAATGCACAGCTGAATTCGGATGGCTCTTTGTGAAAATCACAACTGTTTGATGGCTTGTAAAGTGGGAAGGGGAAGACCAATTGTTAATCAGAATGTCCCTAATAATTGTGCATATAATTGTTTAATGTACACGTGCACTCCTTATTTTGAACAATGTCACTTGCACATTTTAACTTAATTTAATGTGCCATTTGCATGAAAACTGCGGGAATGAAAAGTCTATTATTATTATTAACATTAACATTTTAACTATTTACTTTTTTATTTACTGTGCGGCTCACTTTTGCTTGCTAGTTAATTAACTTACAGTAGTTGAATGCACATTTGCATCCTACAGTATTACAAATGTGTACAGAAACAACTGAACAATGACGCGTTTGTTTAATGGAAGAGGTGTACATGTAATAGTTTGGATACCATGTGTACATGTACATGTACTGTACATGTATGCTTACATACATTTACATGTACATATATGTACCATACATGTACATGTATGTAAATGTACAATGAACATGTACAGGCCATAATGTCAATGAATGTAGAATGAACATGTACATGTTTCTGGGCCTACATACAATAATTACAGACATTTTTTTTGCATAAAGGACAGACCAAACTAGTTGTCAAATAGATGTGAATGTACAAGTACATTGTTAAATCTACCAGGAAATTTGGAAACCCTGGAGGCTGGAGCACTTTATGTATGGTGTAAAATACAATGACATTCCAGACAGGCAGAGGCGGGCAGACATGCTTCAGTAGCCTCACCAGACTGTGGCATTCCATCAGTGCAGTATTTGACCAAGTTTGGGCCAAAAAGAGAGTACAATATACAATGACTCACATTTATACAGAGCATTTGTGCTCAAGTTTCCGTCAATTCTGTGTCCTACATGTACATGAACACGTATCTTTGTAATACAAAAATAACACCCTTGATTTTATGCAAATATTACGTTTGACTGGTAGTGAAACCTTTTGAAATGCAAACATATATAGCCTCAATGTTTTAAAGAGCTACGTGTACTGACAACAACAGTACATGTACAAAAATGTACGTGTATGTCATTAGAAAGCTCTTATTCTCCTCCTTTGTGTACTTAATTTACTTTATCGCCATGTATTTAATTAATCAAAAGAGACTTTAGTGATAGTGCCCGCATTGTGTAGAATGTTTTTAGAATTACTGACTACAAACTGAATGCTTCCCATTGGTAACAGGTGGCTTGACAAACATTGAATCTGTTGATATGCATAGGCCTTTTTAATCTCTCTATTATATCTGGGTTACATGTATATATGCATCTCAGGGATTATCCGACATTGAAGTTTTGTGCAGTGTGTCACATCCACAAAAATGGCCGACTGGAGCCCATAGGCCCAGTTTTCTTCTGTTTCTGTGAATGCGAAAAACAATATACTCATTTAGCTTGGTTTTAATTATTCACCTAGATTTAAAATAAAAATTGAATCCCATAGTGTGTAATGCATCAAAATATGTTTTGATATTGGCTCTGGAAAAAGAAGCATTTGTTGCCCACATAACAGGGCCACTGTCTGCTATTCCCTGCAACATTTTTTTATTGTCCATGTTACAGGGCCACTGTGCATCAGTCCTAACACTCCAGAATACCACCTGGATTGCCAGAATGGTGGAGTCTGTGTGGAAGACGCCATAGGCAACTCCACCTACTGCCAGTGTTCAGATGAATACGAGGGTACTCTGTGCGAGAGGAATGTAACCTATGCGTGTGATGCGGACGCGTGCCAAAACAATGCAACCTGCCTACAGACTGACAACGGTGTCCAATGCATTTGTGCAGACGGTATGATGTCCACACTAGATAATCTCGGGGGAGATGTAGTTTTGACACAGGGTGGAAAACATGCAGCGTTTCACATTTTAAAATATACAACCTTGCGCCAACCCTGTGTCAACCCTGAGATTGATTTTGCCCCGGGTTGAACCCAACCCTGCTCCAGACCAGGGTTGAGATTTTCAACCTGGGTTGAAACTGTCACCAGGGTTCAACGCAATAGAAACCGAGCGAAATAAGCTCAGTTGTGCATGAAACAGTGTGAAATGATGCAGGGTTGAAGGTGGGGTCGAAAAGTAAAAAACTCAGGGTTGAGTTCAACCCGAGTTGAGAGGCTCCAGTGTGAAAAGGCCTGAAGAGATTGTACAGGTAACTACATGTACATGGAAGGCCAAACTCACCGTTTTGAACAAAATGATTCCTTGTGTGTAAAAGAAACGCAGTTCACATAACAGCTGGGCCCAATTTCATGGCGCTGCTAAGCACAAAGAGAGTCTGGCTTATAAAAGCATGTTACCTGCCAAAACTCCACGTGATGTATTGCTTGTGATGAGTATTCAGCTGATGTTTGCTTAGCAAGAAAATCACATGGAGTTTTAGCTGGCAACCTGCTTTTATAAGCCAGATTTTTTTGTGGGGGGGGGGCCTACATGTATCTAATGTTCTCTTTAAATACGCATTACTCAAAGCTCTCATGAGTCTGCTTAATGGTTAGCAAAAACATAAGCAGGAATTTTCATGCTTACGTGAACCATTTATCAAAGGTGGGCATCGTTGCAGTCCTTTGTTTTTTTTGTGTTTCAGGTTTTAGCGGCGACAATTGTGCCATCAACATCAACGAGTGTGCCGTCCACCAGTGCCTGAATGGTGGCCTGTGCATCGACGGCATCGCCGACTACACCTGTAACTGCACGGGAACCGGCTACACCGGTGACCGGTGCTCGGAACCAGTCGACGAATGCCTCACTGAACCCTGCCTGAACAGTGTCGATTGTGTAGACACGTCGGGGGACTTTGTGTGTATCTGCTTAGATGGTTGGACCGGGAAGATTTGCGATGAAGATCTTGACGAGTGCATGTCATTCCCTTGCATTAATGATGGAACCTGCATGAACCTGAACAATGCTTACGAGTGTCAATGTGTCCAGGGCTTCAATGGTAAATACCTTGTTTTATCTTCCTATTTTTATTAACAGCTGTTCACATAAAGGTGCTTAACAAATGTACTACTTCAGCAGACTGAAGTCAGTAGCGAGTGGGCATTTCCACGCTAATGAGGAACACAAGCGTGACATGGGCGAACAATTGTGACCCGCTCCGCAAAAAAATGGAATTATTAGTCGCACTGTGCATTATCCTGTAATGGCCCGCTTAAGGTTGAGAGGGTGAACATTTCGTCATAATGGGATTCCATTTTTTTTTCATGAATGACATCTTGATTGCCTAAGTTTCAAGTGTTGGTTTTGGTGAATAAAGTGGGGGAAAAAACTACAATTTTGAGTACATCATGCCCAAATCTACAACCTTTTTTCTCTGCTAAGCATCAATACAAGTGAAATGGTATTGGTAGTATTAGAATCACAGTAGCCATTAAAGAGGTTGTGGAATGCTCGATGACATTTCCGTCATTTTTCGGGTATATGTAGCGTAAGGTGTGATGAAATAGAAACGACTATTGTTTCTGTCATAAAATGAGTGCAAAAGGTACTTTTGAGAGCTGTTTTTCAAGTCCTGTCATGCCTGTTTCGACCCGAACGTGCAATTTGTGTAAAAGTCGTCGTTGCGGGCAGCAAACAAAACACAGTAAATAGTGACGTAATAAACAGGACTCCCGATGCAGAGTAGCATAAACGAGTCCTGTTTATTACGTCACGATTTAGTGTGTTTTGTTTGCTGCCCGCAACGACGACTTTTACACAAATTGCACGTTTGGGTCGAAACAGGACCTGAAAAATAGCTCTCAAAAGTAACCTTTGTACTTATTTCATGACAGAAACAATAGTCGATTTTTATTCATCACACCTTAGGCTACATATACCCAAAAAATGACGGAAATGTCTTCGAGCATTCCACAACCTCTTTAACATTGAGGTTTTATTTTGAAGGTACCAACTGTGACAATAATATGGACGATTGCGTCTCCGTGACCTGCCCTGATACCTTTGAGTGCGTTGATGGGGTCGATGCCTACACATGCGAGTGCCCACCTGGAAAAAGTAATCATTTATATGCAGTTCTACACTTTCTTTGACCTTAGCAGGTTTTATATAACTTTCTATAATATTTAATATCAAGAAAAATTTTGGGACAATTTTTATTCTGTAATCTGTATTTTTGAAACGTGTTTTTTTGCCCTTGGCTTTGAGCCATATCAATCTAGTTCTTTCTTTCTTTCTTTTTTACATCAGAGCTTAACTGAAATTAAAACAGTGTTAGTATGTCTCCAAGTGTGATGATTTTAGTCACTTTCCTGAATTTGTTTGGTTTTTTGTTTTCTTGTTAATAGCAAATCAGTCTGGCTCCTGTGTTGACATTGATGAGTGTTCACCAAACCCTTGCCTCAATGGAAACTGTGAAAACCTAGACAACATGTAAGTGGCTTGGTCAAACTTACAGGTACTAATACTTTAACCCAAACGATCCCCAACCAGCCAAAGTCCAACACCAGGGTTTGTTGGAATCTGTTGGGATGATTTCTGCTGACTGTGCTTTACGTGGGATTAGGCATAGCACAAATAAACAGAGTCCAACTGTGCACAGTTTACCATATTTTGTTGGGATTTGCAAGGATGAGGAAGGTTCCTAGTAAATCAGCCTAGGGAGTTGGGGTTAATCTGATGATAAGCACCTCCCTCAACATCCCCTCTCCCCACCCCACCCTCTCCCTCTCCCTCCCCCTCCCGCTTTTCAAATTTCTGGACCCAGCTCGCCTCGCCATTCAGCCTCCTGAAAAATGTGCACCTGAAAATGTTGGTTTTGGATCTGCCTTTGGTGCTCAAATGAAATGCCAGTGCTCCCAACTGGAAAAATCCTGGCTTAGGTCACTGGTTTGTGGTGGGTAAATTTGAGTGATTTACTAGGAATCTTCCTCACTCTTGCAAAACCCAACACTATTTGGCAACTCATACGCCCAAACTGTTGGACTCTGATTCTGTGGTATGCCTGACCACACGTAAAGCATAATCAGTTTCGTAGTGCAGTGCTCACTCCAACAGATTCCATCAAAACATGCAATTGGAATTTGAAGGGTTGGGGTGGTTTGGGTTAATTCATGTAGTAAACATGAAGCGTATGTGTAAATTAGACTTGCTGCAATCGACTTGACTGGGGTCAGATAAAATATAACAATTTTAGACTTGAGACCAACTTTTTCTCATTTGCTTTAGAATTTCGTAATTTTTTTTTTAATTTAAATTCTTATTTTTGACTTCTGTCGCGCCATAGGTATAATTGTGTCTGTTACCCTGGCTTCAACGGCACCAACTGTGAGATCAACATTGACGAGTGCGATTCCGACCCGTGTCTGATGAATTCCACCTGTGTGGATGGAATCAACGACTTCAACTGCACCTGTCTGCCTGGGTTTGATGGGGAACTCTGTGATGTGGATATTGATGAGTGTTCACTGGATCCTTGCCAGAACGGCGCATCTTGTGTGGATGGGATCAACAGGTACGGGTTCAGTTTGGAGAATAAATAGAGAGGGCAGAATTACTGTCGGACAGACACTATCCGACCTTTAGCTGTATTTGATGAAACGAAAAGACTGGTAATCAATGAAAGTGTGTGATGCGATCAAGCTAAATGAGTCGTTTGTTGACCCTGGTCAATTTTTTTTTTTACAGATTTGAAAAGAGCACAAACTCAGCATTACTGCTGTGAAAACCGCGTTCTTATACCGTCTTTAGTTCAAATATTATGGAAGTTGGAACACCAAGAGATGTGATGAGGTGATGTGATGAAGTGGCCCTATTTTGGCCTGAATCTCCAAATGAAAGTTCCTGACAAACAACTCATTTACATGTAGCTTGATTGCATCACATATGACTTCATCAACAAATATGCATTTTACACCTAATAGTCCACTATCATGTTGCGGCCATCATGATTTTTTTTCCGTTCAAATCAGCGTTACAAGGGAGAGGCTGGAAGAAAAATAGGCTGGTTCCTTTTTGCACAAAAGCCATTATCATTCAGTACTGTTATTGGATACAGGGAACATGACTGAAATGGTGGCAGAATGATAAAAGGTCTATAACTGATTGTGCTAGTTCTCTTTGTCTGAGCTCTTTTTTGGTCCAATTTCACCCGATAACGTAGCCGTGGATGATCCTCCTAAAGTAGGGTCTTAAAACCCGGAACTTTCCTGTTACATTAAGAATGCTCCATGCCAACAAAATTTTGCTTGCGTTTTCCTTTCAAAATTGTTTTGTGAACCAAACATTTTAAAATTTGCCGGATATCGCCATCATCCCAAAAGTTTTCAACAAAATGGAATTAGCAGTGCTGTATCCCATTGAGCACTTGTTTTTCTATATTCTTTTGATTTGAAAATCTCGTGTTTTCATTTTTGTAACTTCACTCCCGTTTTGTGGAAGCAGGTTAAGAAATAATTGTTAGCTCTCCTTAGAAATTGACCTATCACCGTTTGTGTGTTAGCCACGCCCCTTAGACAACCCTGGAATTTTTGTACACTAAGTTCTGCTTGCCTCAGATTTTGCGCGTCCATTTGTATCATGTAATTCAATTGGACAATATTTCACAAGCTGCGTTGATCCGATTCTAACACGATTCTACTGCGATAGGTCAATAAGCTTAAGGATCCTCATGATTTAACTTATACAAGTTAACTACATTTTTTTTGTGATTGGTTTTCACAGCTACACCTGTGAATGTGTGTTAGGCTATGACGGTGACAGATGTGAGAATAACATTGATGATTGCGCACCGGATCCGTGTCAGAACGGTGCCGATTGTGAGGATAAAGTGAATGACTATACATGTGACTGTGTCCTTGGGTATGAGGGTAAGTCATTCAAAAACTCCTTAATTTTAAGCCAAACCTTGCCAAATCCAGCCATTTTCCAAAGGAGGCAAGAAAGAATGCGACTTCAAATACATTTTTAGTGTTATTGATTTTCAGGGCTTCAGTGATTGTGTGCTTCTTACTTTTCACTCATTATTAACCAAGATAGTTTGATGGGTTTAAGATACTTCACCCCTGACCTCAAGCTCATGGGTCATATCTCATGAACTGTGAATGATGAGTTTTCTGACACTCAGGGGCCACTCACCATTCAAAACCTTAACATTTTTTCCTGCGCCCATCAGACATCAGTTCACTCAGATACTTAAAGCTAATGTATAACATTTGCAAACGTCAAAAAAAACAAAACTACCAAATTATTATGAATTACCTTACTTGACTGTTCGTGAATAATAGTCTCAAGCATCCTGTAAAATTGTAGTACTTGGTGTGCTGTCTTTTTCACAAAAAGTGGAATTTTTGTATCGATTTCCAACGATGGTCGGCCGACCATTGTTGGAAAAAACTGACTTTGTCAATTACTGCCCCCAAAATACCAAATTTAATTGGCCCCTTTTTTATGTAATTGGGGACACACCCATAGGGTGTAAGCCAGCTAGTCTGGTTCACTGACCTGACAATTCCCCGATGTCTATAATTGGGCCGTTTTGTATGAAGTAGAGTCGGGGAACCAGACCACAAGAACAGCATGTTTGTCCAGCCTCTATGGACACAAAACTGTAAACGAGTCAGTGTAACAATATTTGCTTTAAAATACTTACATGTACCCCCGAATCCATCCATTTCTGAAAATTACAACAAAAGCAAATGTTTTTTCGTACCTTTAATACAATAATATCATTATATTAGATTTGTTTATTCTCGTCTCTTGCTTTTCTAAACAGACAAGAACTGCTCAACCAACACCAACGAATGCGATCCAGATCCGTGTCAGAACAACGGCGTATGCGTGGACCTCGTGGGTGACTTCCAGTGTAACTGTACCATTGATTATGTGGGGAAAATGTGTGAAACCTTGTACGATGCCTGTGTAGATAAAACACCATGTGAAAACGGCGCCACGTGTACCACACCGCCACTGCCCTCGCAGGACTACAACTGCACGTGTGTACCCGGTTACAGTGGCACCAACTGCGAGATCAACATCGACGACTGCGTAGGCGTGGACTGCAACGTGACCTCCGGAAAGATCTGCTTTGACTTAGTGGATGGTTACAACTGTGCGTGCCTAGTGGGCTACGAGGATCCGCTCTGTTCCGTCGACATTGACGAGTGCGCATCAAACCCCTGCAGAAATAACGCCACTTGCAATGAGAGCATCGGGGCTTTCAACTGTACCTGTGCGCCGGGCTTTGCTGGAGAACAGTGTGAAGACAACATTAATGAATGCGACCCTAATCCCTGCCAAAACGGTGGAAGATGTGAAGATGAAATCAACGGTTATCGATGTTTTTGCGTTCCAGGACATTCTGGGCTCAACTGCGAAGTATCTTTGAATGAGTGTAATTCCGATCCATGCAAAAATGGTGCTACATGCATGGATGCGCTGAACGATGTTATATGCACTTGTGTACCAGGATTCACAGACAAATATTGTGGAACCAACATTGATGAGTGTGAGCAGAATATGTGTCAGAACAACTCCACCTGTATAGATGGCATTAATGAATACACTTGCAACTGTGCACCAGGCTACAATGGCACAAACTGTGAAATAGACATAGACGAGTGTGCAGTCAACCCCTGCAATCTGGGGACTTGCATCGATGCAGTCAACGAGTAAGTACCGGTAAAGAGACATAAACCAAGTCATTCATATCAGTGATTTGTGTTTTCAGTTCTTGCAGAAAGGAGTTACATTGCTAAGAGAGCTTGGATCATGAAGTTATTCAAGAAGAAATCTTGACTTGAGATCCATGGACCTGAATCAGTTATTTGCTTCCATTGATTTCATTGGTGTTAGAAAGAAATCAACATGTCTGTAACAATTTGGATCTTGAAATTTGCTTCAGAAGTAACCTTTGCTCCAATTGTGAGATGGTTTTGCTTTACCTGGGTTGAGAAACCTTACATCTGTATAGTTCAAATTTTCAAAATACCAGCAGAGCAACACAGTATTGAGCCCTCCACTTCAAAGATTGGTAAAAATGTTTCCAAAACACTGTAATTTAAATGCTGAGAAGTTGCTTTCGTGCTGTACATTATCACAGATGGCTTCACAAATGGTATGCGCCAATTCCAGAAGATTGAAATCGTAGTATCCAAAACGTAAACGCCATTTCTCAAACAATTTCTCTGGTCCTATCTGCCAGATTTTAATGTTTGAAGCAAACGAAAAGACTGCAAACTTTTAATGTGAATTTATAAAATCTGATGTTTTCTGATGCAGAAAATGGATGTACAATGTATGCATGTACATGTACATGTACCCTGTACATTGAACTTGCAGTAACCAACGTGTAAAACCAGCAGACTGGAATTGAAGCCAAAGTCCGATAAACAGCCAACATAAACAATGTCAAAACATGGCTACCATGTTAATTTGATCATCATGAATGCATACATGAACATGTAGCCTCCATTGCTTAGCACTTCATACCTCGCATTCCAACCCTCCTCTTGCTTTTTCCCGCTTCAAATTGTTCCTTTTTTGTCACCATGTTTCGTATTCATTAGCTTTTTACATCCTGCTGGTTGCCATTGGTGAGTTGTGTCATTAAGAGTTACGTCACTGTTGAGTTCCTTCTGTCTTTCATGAGTCACGTTGAAATATTTGAAGTTTTTGTTGATACGTGCATTGTACATGTGGGTTAGTTATTGTGCCGTATTTTTGTTCAACTAAACAATATTTGTGAAATTCAGTGAACATGTGTGCATGCCCTATTAGTAGGTTTGTTTGTAAATGTTGAGTTGGTTTGTTTCAAAATTTGAATAGATGTACTGTGTGAACTTGTTAGATTACAGTGTAACTGAAAATTTTGATATTATGTGTTGACACTTCCATTTAATTGCATTGTTGAGTTGATGAACATGTACATGTATGTGTTGAAAATGTGTTTCGCATAATCTGTGGGTGTTCTGTGTTGCTTGATATTTTTATTTAGACAAATGTTGTATTTGTGTGCAATTTACTATAAAAATCCAATCTGGATTTCTGACAATGTACATATACCCCTTACATTCTACTGCACTTGAGAGAATTGTTTGTTTTCGAAAGAATGAATTGGTTATGTTTACTTTTACTGATTCAGGTTTTTGCTTTTCCATTTCTCTCAGTTATACCTGCAACTGCACTGACACTGGCTTTTTTGGACCACAGTGTGAGTCCAACATTGACGATTGCGCCCCGGATCCTTGCGTCAATGATGCAACATGTGCAGATCTGATCAAGGACTACAACTGTAGCTGTTGGAGAGGTTACGAGGGCAAAAACTGCGAAGTTGACGTCAACGAGTGTCAAGACGCGCCTTGCTTGTTTGGTGGCGTGTGCTATCAACGATCCAACCAGAGCCTGTATAACGGTGTCAACCCCTTATTTCCTGGACAGTTTAGCTACGCCAACGCCAGCGGGTTCCTCTGCCAGTGTGCCGATGGTTACAAAGGCACCACCTGCGAGATTGACATTGACGAATGCGCATCGGGACCTTGCGCTAACAACGGAACCTGCAACGATGGCGTGAATGGCTACACATGCGAATGCGCCGGTGGATGGGAAGGCGACGATTGCAAACTGGAAATCGACGAATGCCTTCCAGTGCCATGTAAGAACGGAGCTACGTGTACCGATCTGATCAACGATTACGAATGCATATGCACTGAGGAATATGGAGGGAGTAATTGTACCGTGCAGCTGACAGGCTGTGACATGAACAATTGCTTAAATGATGCCACCTGTATACCTTCATATGATGAAGCAACCGGCGATCACACTTACACTTGCCAGTGTACAGACGGTTACAATGGTACCTTCTGCCAAACGGACACCTCCGTATCATTTGAAAATGAGGCGTTCCTTGAGGATCCAAGTACCTATCTCGCGACTACTCTTGACTACTCACTTTCTCTTCAAACCACCTTACCAGATGGTCTTCTGCTTTACTCGGGTCCATATCCAAATGTAAAATACTTCCTACTGGAGATGTTTAATGGGGAATTGCTGTTGAAATACTTCCAAAGTGGCCAACCGTTAATAGAAATAAATGATTTCGGACAAACAATAAATGACGGTGAATATCATACTGTGAGAGTCATCGTAACCTCACAAACAATCACCCTATCAGTAACCATCCCTCAGGCAACACGTACTCGGAGAACTGCAACATGCTCTGGTGGGGTATGCAAACAAGAAGTTAACATTCCAACTGGTGTCAGTGTTTTATTTGACGAAATGTACATTGGGGGCGTCCCCGACGACGACAAAACATCTGTCTTGCCCCTCTCCCAATCAGGGGTATACTTCACTGGTTGTATGCGCGACATCAAGAATGGAGGATCCTACATCGTACCAGCCAGTACCAGGGCTGCAGTTGCCCCCTCTGTTTGTAGACGGGTGAATCAATGTCCCGACGATCGGTGTAGCAACAACGGTGTCTGCACAGATCGATGGAATACCTTCACATGTGTCTGCAACATAGGATACACGGGAACCACCTGCAATGAAAGTGAGTATAAGTGACAGACAGTGTCGTAGTGGAGTCCATCAGAGGTCAATCAGAAGTCCAGTTGCAATTGACCTATCATGATAGAATCGAGTTACAATCGCATCAACGCAGCTTGTGAAACGTTCAATTACATGATATACATGTACATGTACAAATGGACGCGGAACGCGCAACATCTTAGACAAACACAACTTAGCGTACAAAACTTCCAAAGGGTTGTCTAAGGGTCTTGACCAACTCGCAAAAGGCGATAGGTCAATTAAATCACAAGTCTATTAAAACTCTAACTCCCTAGGCATTTTTGCCAGGATGCAACCTCAATCCTGCAGAATCCTCCAGCTGCCTCCATGTAAAAATTGCATACAGCCTCAGTTATTTCTGGAATGTGGTCCTTGGAGGGGTGACCACTGCCTCAATCAGTGCAAAATCCCCCAGCAATCCCTGTCAATATGTTGAGGCACAGCCAGTGACATACTGGAGCAGTGCGGAGGATTTCAAGTATAATCTAGGCCGAAATTGATGCACGGCTGTGCGTAAACAATGCAAGATGCGGCCCAGGACCTTGACACGGGGCATCCTCCAAAATCAGCCACACATTTTTGCCATATAGCCTCAATCCTGCAAAATCCTCTACTTTGCAAAGAAGATTGTGGAGGATTTGGGAAGGTTAGGGTTAACAAGTCTGGTCGTCATAGGTCGTTTGAATAGAATAGAATAGCTTGTGACTTGACTTGAAACCGGAGCGATGGTGATGAACTTGTGAGGATCTATTATTGATTGGACTGTGGCATTGCAGACACAGCTTGAAATCAAACACAGAAACTGCTTGGACGAAATGACCTAGAACAATCAATTTGTGAGCTGACGCATGCAAAGTGTCATATTTCTTTGCATGCATTCACAGTACAAATTTTGACTGAGCACATAGTTGTTTGGGAAAGGAACACTAATGTCTAATTCCCTAGGCACAAATTTTGACTGAGCACATAGTTGTTTGGGAAAGGAACACTAATGTCTAATTCCCTAGGCACATTGTAGTGGTCTCAAAGCAAAAGGTAAAAACATCCAAGATATCAACTGTTTTTGTACAGAATTTTAAATCCAATCCTAGTGGACATAAAAGTGGACAATCATAGCTGACCTTTGATTAATGTTGTTTACTACAAGCTGAGTTTGGCTCTTTATATAATTTGTATTCGTGATCCCAGGACGTATCATTACTTAAAGTTTCCTTAATTACTCTGCAGGCTTTATTCCCGCCACATTCCGCTTTGAGGACATCCCCGAGAGCTTTGCAGAATTCACGGCCAACGACGTCCTGTCCAATTCCTTCAGCTCTGTCAAGCTTGCCTTCCGGACCCGGGAGCCCGACGGTCTGATCTTCTACACCGAAGATACTCCTAGCAATAGCTACATCACAGTCGAGCTGGTAAGCGAAAGCCTAAGAGTGGCAGTGTCCCGGAGTGGCAGCTTGGTGTCTTCAACCTTGGGCAGTGGACTGTCCGATGGCATCTACCACTTTGTTTCAATAACAGCTGACCAAACTGAACTCAGTGTATCACTTGACCCACTGACCTCTCCTGTTACGGACACCCAAGCTTTAACAAGTGGCAACCCGGACTTCACAGTCTTCAACGTGGGTGGAGTGGTTGATTTCGCTGTCATCCCCGCCGACGCCGCCACCCCTGACACCTACTTCAAGGGCTGCCTGTGGGACGTCAAGTTCAACAACTACTCTCTCCAGTTTGAGCCTCTCGATCTCCCCAGTTTCCCCATCCCTTCATTCCCGATGACCACCAACAGCAGCGTCTTGATCAACGAGTGTCAGAGTGACGACACGTGCGCCGATTCACCCTGTGAAAACGGTGGCACGTGCAACGTGACCTGGAATGACTTTGAGTGCGAATGCCCGACTGGTTTTGGTGGAAAGAATTGCTCCGACTTGACCATCTGCGCAACGGATCCATGTCCCACTGGAGCTGATTGCAGAGACGTTCCTAACGGACATGAATGTGAGTTCACCTTTTAATCTTGCTTTATTTGGACCACTTATCCCAAAAAAGAGTTTGGCAAAATCTGTTATTATCTCCATCAGAAGAATGGAGTGTTTGTTAACATAATCGTATCATGTGTGTATCGGTGCCAATAATGCAACCAGCCCTTGTAAATTCTTAACCCTAACTCCCTAGGCCTTTTTGCCAGGATGTAGCCTCAATCCTGCAAAATCCTGCAATTGGCCTCATGGAAAAATAGCATATAGCCTCAATCCTGCAAATTCCTCCATTATTTCTTGAATATGGTCCATGGAGGGATGACCACTGCCTGAATCCTGCAAAATCCTCCGGCTGTGTCTGTCAATAGGCTGAGGCAGAGGCAGTGACATCCTGGAGCAGTGCGGAGGATTTCAAGTATAATCAAGGACTACATTTATGCATGGCTGAGCATAAACAACACAAGGTCCGGCCCAAGACCTTGACACAGTGCGTCCTCCGAAATCAGCAACGCACTTGTGCCATGTAACGTCAATCCTGCAAATTCCTCCAATTTGCAAAAAGGATTTTGGAGGATTCAGGGCGGTTAGGGTTAATGTTGTTTACAGTATTCTACTCCATTGGGCCTATTCTGCCATAACATTCATACAATATTATCGTGTATTGTCTTATCCTTTGGCAGGTGTTGTTGAGGCCACATTTGACGGCACCTCAAGCCTGGTGTCCTACACCTCCAACATCAGTGATTCAACAAATCTTAACTCCATCACTCTGAAGGCTCGCACTCGCAATGATGCCGGCATCATCTACCATTCCTCCAACAACCTCACTGATTACTTCGTCACTTTATACCTAGTCCAGGGTAGGCCCGCTCTGCGGTTTAATCTTGGGCAGTTCGAAGAGATAACCTCCCAGGTTGTAATCAAGGACGGGTCCTGGCATGACATTGAGGTCAGATTCGCCACAGACACAGTTGAAATCATAGTAGATAAGGTATCGGCAAGCAAGTCAACCGTTATCGATTCAGATCTTTTGGCGTTAGTCATCACCGAAACGGGAAGTTCCCCAGTATTCCTCGCAGGAACCACGGTAGTCAACAGTGATTACTTCGTCAACTACAACTACTTCAAGGGTTGCCTGAATGACGTCCGAGTGGGCGGGGTCCTCCTCCCTTTCTATGACCGGGAAACCGTCAACTCGACCAGTTATGACCAATTCTACGCCACCATCACCGATGTCAATACCAGCTGTGTGGGGGATAAGACGGTCTGCGACTCCTACTCCTGCAACAACTTCGGCACCTGTGTGGATTTGTGGAATGCCGCCAGCTGTCAGTGTTTGTCAGGCTTCGACGGGGACAGATGCCAAATTGACATAGATGAGTGTGAAATGTTCGATAACCCTTGTGTTTCGGGATCCACCTGTCGCGATGATGTCAACAATTACACCTGTCTGTGTCAGTCTGGGTTTGAAGGACGGGATTGTGGCAGTGAAATCAATGAGTGCGATCCTGATCCCTGCTTACAGGGTTCAGTCTGCTATGATGGCCTTGATTTCTTCAACTGTACCTGCCTGGGCGGTTACATTGGTGCCTTGTGCGATGTTTTGGTAAGGAACAAAATGTAATAGTTTCTGAAGTACAATTGTCATGGTGAATGATGTTGTGATTATACCCTTTTTCTCTTTAAAATTTATAGTCATACAAGATAAGCTCATTGCAGGAACTGGCAAGCTAATTTGGTTGAGCTCCGGAATCTCAGATCAGCCGTCTAGGGTTCATGTCCAAACCCCAATTTTTTTGCATAGCCAGATTTTCAACCTGAGGTTTATAAAGTAAACCAAGGCACCCAGCAGGTTCTTGAAGGTTCTTTTTGGCCGTGAAGTTTGTCGTGAACTTGTCAACAGTTAACGGCTGCTTTTGATAGTTGTGTTTAGTAGAAATCAAAAGGCAGCATTTGAAGGTGATGATACTTGGGTTTCGATGTCAAAATGTATCCTTGTTCCTTTTCATAGATCAATGAGACATGCGCTGGCAATCCTTGCAAGAACAATGCCACGTGTCAGGACAGTGCGCCTGGATCAGAGGTAAGCTGATGTGTAGAGTGGACCGTTTTAGACTTGGACAGAAGCCCTGCCCTTTTGGGGGTTTGTTTACATTTGTCACAATTCTTGTGATTGAGTTTGACTGAACTGTTGTAGTCACCTGATCAAAAGCCATGATTTTATTGGTCGACCGGCATCATTTGATTGGCAAGCTGGAAGGGTCCATTGTGCTCTATAAATGCTTTATAGCAACAAAAATGTCAGTTCCTCACTAGTTTTGGAGATAAAATCTTATGTCTGGGATTTAAATCCTGGCGGAGCATGTTTTTTTTTTCAATCATACATCAAGCATGCATGGCATGTCCTAACAGTACGGGGCAAACCCTTTTCCTGATCCTGAGTGGAGTGCCGTGGTCTGGAGCATTGAACTCTCGGTCTGCGGGTAATTCTGCAAGTTGTGGGTTCGAGTCCAGCCTGGGGTTATGGTGCGTGTGCCCTTGGGCAAGGCACTTTATCACTCATTGCTTCTCCCCACCCAGGAGTAAACGGGTACCTTTGTGATATATTTGAGCTGTTTTGCGCCAAAAGTGGCAGCATCAAGCTGTACATGTATACTCCCCAGGGAGCTGAGATGATATTTGGAATGTTTCACTGGCCCAATGATCAGGGGTAATAACAATAATGTAAGCGCTTCGATCTTAGTTTAATAAAAGCGTCATTTAAGAGTATCTGTTTCTACGATTCACATCAACAGGCTAGTTTTGCATGTGAGTGCCCTACCGGTTTCAACGGTGATGACTGCGGCCATGACATCGACTACTGCGTCGCCCACGAGTGCGCCAACGGAGCAACCTGCAACAGCCTACGGGATCAGGCAAATTACTCGTGCTCATGCGCAGATGGGTACAGCGGGAACCGGTGTGAGACAAACGAAGACAACTGTGTAGGAGTTGATTGCCAGAATGGAGGAAACTGCGTTGACGAGATTGATGACTTCTATTGTAACTGTACAGGAGGTGAGTATCTTAATAAAAAAGACATATTTTCAGTTATCAATGATGCTGTATAGTGCACTTGGGGATATATGACCGGCTCCACACAAAAAAAAAGGTATTAAAGATATAGTCCATCATTTGTAATTTGTGCATTTTGTTCGTTTGGAGCAACAAAAGTGTTCAAAATCTAATGAAGGATACTGAACAACTAACCCGATGAAGTTTCAGCTCAGCTTCAGCTGTATATTCCGAGAAAAACAGCATTCTAGGATCTCAATTTCAAATCAAAATTTGCTGAATCATATTTTGAATTGTTTTGAATTGCAGCTTTACGCGATGTCGCACACTGATCCGACGAATTATAGCAACCGTGCGTGCCTGTGCGTCGTGCAAATGCTTGCGCGCGCTGTGCCGAATAACAAAACGAACTACTAATTTAAATTTTCCAACGGTGCGTCTTAAGACGCACCGTTGGAAAGGCCTTCTTTCGTTGATTACTTCAAAATGATAGCTTGCTAGAAAGATTAATTTCACAGGGAGTTCAGTCCACTTACTATCTTTCAACCAAGTATGTGTTTCAACAATAATACGCCAGTTACTTTTTCGGATGGCTGCAAATGATGGACCATAGATTTAAGTCGTGCTGAGCATTATTGTGTAATGGCCCGCTCAACATTGAGAGGGTGAACATTACGCCAAAATGTAATTTTCAGTTTTTGTCATGAATGACATTTTTAATACCTAGAGTTTCAGGTTTCATTCACAGAAATGTGGATTTTGATGAACAAAGTTGAACATTTTTTGTGTGTGTGCATCGTTCTGTTGTTCTACAACAAAGCCAGCTATTTCAAAGCCTGTTTTCTCAGTTGTGTAATTTGAACTCCAAGGAAGTAATTCATATGCAAATACGTTATATCTCCAGAACGGGAGGGGCTATGGAGCTCTATTATACACCAAATGAAAGCTTACAGTGAAGACTTTCCGACCATGTATATAACTCAATTTCACTTTTTCGACATAATATCCTTTTTTTGTGGAGCCGGTCACATATCAAGTGCAGTAAAAATATTCTGTTCTTTGAGGCGAAATTTCAGGTCAAGTTACTTAACTTACAAATTTTAAAAGTGTTTGAATTTTGAATAATACCAAGATGTAGTACCACGTGTATTTGTGCAGTTTGAATACATTGTTTTTGTCTTGTCTGATTTAGGTTATGATGGTGACCGTTGTCAAAATGACATCAATGAGTGTAACCCCAACCCTTGCCAGTTTGGCGCAACTTGTAACGATCTACCCAACGACTTCAATTGTGTCTGTACTTCTGGATTTGATGGTAAGTACAAGTCCTACTGGATCTCAAGATTTTAAATTTGCATTTATTACACGAAAGACACAGCAGTGCTGGTTCTCTATTTCGTGAATGATTTTAGTTTAGTGTACAATTTTATTTGCGTTTTTAAAGAAAAGCCAAGAAGACAAGAAGTACGATACATTTGTTCCTGGTACTGATAAACATAGGACTTGATGCATCAAAACTTGCAAAAAGGAAAAATGGCATGTTTTTTTCTGCATAACCATCGATCAGGATTATCTTGTTCATTCAAAATTTCGGATGGGACTCTAAAACAAGAATTTTAAGAAAACTTATATCCCATCTTGAAGCTTACCAATTTTTTTCTGGAACAAAAAAAAATGAGAACGTTTGGTTGTTTTTAAATATTGTATGAGAATGTTTGCATTTTTCAATTGCAGTTTTCCCAATTGATTCGCTGATAATTTCTAACATTCTTATTGATTCAAGATTTGCACTTCTGAAGTGTTTCTGACACTCACGTTACTCAATAAGCTAGTTTGGTATCTTGATGAAGTAGTTCAGGTCAAAGGTCATTCGGTATAAAATCGCTGATGTGATGATACGCGATGTTATGCAGACACCCATTCTGCTTGTAATTAACACGCGAGCGTCGTGTGCTCGTCTCCCTGCGCATTAATGCGCCTTCGATGAGCGTTCGATTATCCCGCATATGCAGTTGAAATACCGAACTGGTTTATTGAACCTCACTTTTTTAGGTCTTTTTCATTTGAGAATGTACCCACTTTTGAAAATGGAGTTTGCATGTTGAATGCACCAAGCACAATGCTTAAATAATGTGTGATGATGCTTGCTTTGCCTGATTTTTTTCTCAGAAATAATTGTCATTGTTTCATAATGGAAAGGAGTGATTGCATGAGTTCTCATTTAAGTTACTTTTAACATTTTTTTTGCAATGAAGCGCATAAAGAATGCCACAATTTGTGTTCCGTCAATTCAAATAAAAGCCATGTCTTTGATCATTATTTTGTAATCATTCACGCATATTGTTTTCTTAGGTATTATGATAAAACGTTGATTGCTGCATTACTTCTGGGTGGTTTTGGGGAACCACATCTGGCCTTCAATGAGTGTGTTTAATTTTCTGTCAGAATTGACATTATCATCTGATTATTTTCCAGTGTTTTTGAGTTTCACAGGGGTTTGTCTGCATGCTTTGCACACCAGCACATTTATTGAGTTTGGTTTGGCCTTTTTGTTGCATGCCGTCTCACAGTCACACGCTTACATTATACTTGTAGGCGTCTCGTGTGCACATTTTTTTTTGCAGAGAATTCAAGTGCGGATTTTAATATAACTTATGAATGCATCAATATACTGCCGTGCCACGTTTGCATGATTGTAATCATTATGACATAACACAGTGCTTAATCTACATCATGTCAATACTGTAACAGGTGTTCTAGTATGCAACTTCTATATTAGGTTTTGCTCTTCACCAACATTTTTTTCACAAACACTGTATACTTAGTGTAGACTTAAGTGATTGTGAGAAACAAAATCACAAACTACTCAGTTGGGACTCGAACCCATGACCTCGTGCAGACATCATACCACTCTACCACCGAGCTTGCCGGGGTTGGCTGGCTGGTTCGAATCTGATATGGGCTCCGTGCACAAGTACCCCTTCAACAGCCAGAAAAGGAGAGTTGGGGGAGACCTAGCCTACATGTAGTTCTCGGTCCCCGGTCCGTCCACTGCATATCTCAAATCATTCAAAGTTATTGGGGGCAGGGATTAGTCTGGGAGACCATCGCTAGTTAAATGTGAAGGTATTCGCGCGCCGACGACGCTTGACGCTCGCGCACGAAGACACTATGGCTTAGCTGTGCACATTCTGGACAAACAAGTCGTGCGCACTTCGCTTGCGAACCAGTACAGTATGCACTCGCGGTGTCTCGTCCAAGGGGCTCTCAAAAATTGTTTAAACTGTGCCCTCTTTTGTTGGCGCATGGAACCCATAGCAGCGGGTACCTGTACCTGTACCTCAACCAAACTATGTTTTCAAGGATGGGAATGCAGGCTTAAACTTTCACGCACTTGTTAAACAGTTAAAGTATTGTCAACACTTAACTAAGGCTGCCACCTGCTCCACTTTGCGTCTGTTGCGTCACACGCAAAACAGGCATTGATCTTTGTCTTGTTGCATACATGTATAAGAACAATCTAGAACCATCTTCCTGAGACACTCATAAAACTTGAAAAGGAAATAGACTTAAATATAGATATCCTCGATTCTTTTGAGTCTGGAAAAATGAATAAATAAAATATAAATTGTAACGCTTATGTAGTGCTTTCTGTCATAACGGCAATCTCAAAGGGCTTTAGAATTAAAGGCAGGTTAGAACACAGATCCCCATTTTTAAATGTGAGTTGAATTTACACGTTTGGCATGTTTGGGAAAAAAAGTGTGAATGGATGTTGATTTTTTGTTTCCATTTACACTTGTAAATGTCAAAATGTCAGGCTGACTGCTGAGGATCGTTACTTGTAATGAACCTGGAAGACACCTTGCTCCAGCTTAGGATTGACTGGCATTGAAAGAAACTCCTTCAATTGTGACACTATCTGACCTCGACGATTTTCAGTTGTTGTTAAATTAGAGTTATATTACTGCTACTTTGTTTCATATCATCATCATGTTAACCAATTTTCTGTCTGTTGGTCTGTCTGTCTGTCTTGTATTTACGTGTCACTAACCCATCAACCTGAACTTGATCTATACTAAACCAAACTCTCCGAGTTATGACACCATCCCATGGCACAACAACTTAATCCATCCCGCTCAAAAGCAGCAACTTTCTAACTCCAACAATCAGCCTAAAAGTGTTGCATGAATTTCCGCTCTACTAACAAAGCCGACTGCGCTGTCCCCTAACCTGTGTGATCCAAACAAGCAATATCCCATATAACCGTTCCTCCAACTTGCGCTATGATTTGATTTTCTTTTTACTCTTGTATTTTATTTCCCTTTCCGTCATGCAACACCTTTAGGCCGGTTCTGTTCCGACGACATTAACGAATGCCTAAATACCCAAGACCCCCCTTGTCAAAATGGTGGCACCTGCATGAACACATGGGGAAGCTATAATTGCTCCTGCCCCGCGGATACGTATGGGTCTGGGTGCCAGACCACCCCCTGTGACCCTTCCCCCTGTGAGAATAACGCCACCTGCACCGCCCTACCCCCTGGGGTTCATGACTGCCTGTGCCCGCTAGGGTACGTGGGCGTCAACTGCAGTGTTGCTAGTTGTTCCAACGTGGTTTGTCAAAATGGCGGCTCTTGCCAACTCAGTGATGCTAGCTGGGAATGCAAATGTCCTGAATTTACCGCAGGTAGACCTTTCTGTTTCTCTGTTGGTTATTTTGATTTTGTTTTGTTCGTGTGGACTAACCCTAGACTGTTGTACCTAGGAGACTTCACAGATGTCAGTTTATTGCGCGTCGTGGCCCTCTATTGGTGAAAATTGGTACAGTCAGTTCTTATGGGTTTCACTATCAAAAGCCACGCTTACCGACAAAATATCAGCGTCCTCCTTGAGACGTGTTTCTTAGAAGATGAAGTTCCTTCCACAATCACACGCAGAGCAGAGAGATAAGACTTGTATTTCATTTTACCCACGTCCGACTGCAAACAACTTTCCTTCTCCATAGTTTTATACCAGCCTCCCCCCTTCCAAACAAAAATCTCTTTGCCTTTCTGATTCTGATAGTAATTAGTAGAGTATTTTTTTCAAATCTCTTAGTTGCATTTCAATCAAATTTTCCAACTCCACTCAACTTCCTCTTCATCAAATCTTCTGCCATAAAAACCACCCACTTTTAAAGTCTCTCTTAAAAAAACGTAGAAATTATACATGTGTTGACATCCAGTTTTCTTTCTGTTTTGTTCATCCATTCCAAAATCTAGATTTCTTGCTTTTACTTTATACATAGACACTCTGTGCACTCTCCTTGGCATTTGTACTCACATGTTTGTTTTGGTCGGTCTGTTTGTTTGTCTGTCTGGCCGTTATGGTGTCTTAATGTTTGCCATTTCTGCCATCTGTTTAGTTGGTTGGTTGGTTTTCTGTTTGTCTGTTTGACATTTTTCTTAGTATACCTTTGCATTTTGTGACATTTTTGTGTTCCTCGTCTAAAAAGTTAGTGTAGCTGAAATGCTTCTAAGCAAATGCTGGTAGCTTTCAAGATCTAGGAATAGTTGCTTCACTTAATACAAAAACAAAATACATTAAAATACAAGAATTTTTGTTGTAAAGGTTTGTTTAATCAAGGTACATGTTGTGAGAATAATGTTGTCTGTCAATTTCAGTCTCACACACACAATGTATTCTGCAGTTTTCGATGTTGTGATTAACTGTTTGTGTGATTATAAACAGTACCTTTTTATTTCTTTAGTTACTGATTAGCCATTTTTATTGTAAATGTCTCAAGTTGTAATCACGCCAGGGACACAGCATCCGAAAGTTGTGAAGACCTAAAGGTTGGACTTATACCCAAAAACTGTCAACCTAATGCAATGCTGTTAATAAGCAAATATGAGAACATAACTCTAGAATCAGGAAAGAAATTGAAGTTAACACTAAACATTGACAGCTGTTGAATCAGTCTTAGGTTTGGTTTTAAGCTCATTTTGGTGCTTAGCCTATTTTCTCAGACAAAGTGGCATACATGCACAGTTACAACTTTCAAATTTCATTGAAATTTTGAATCTGTACTTAAGAAACCAAATCTGATACATGTACTAACAAACCTCCCTCTGTTGCCCCTCTCAGGTCCCCTGTGCCAATACAAGGGACCCTGCGCCCCGGATATCGCCCCCTGCGTCAATGGCGGATCATGTGACCAGACCTTCCAAGATGGCGGCAGCTTCACCTACATGTGTATTTGCCCAATCGGCTTCAACGGCACCAACTGCGAGTTGGAAATTGACTGGTGCGACAGCAACCCTTGCCAACATGAAGGAAGTAACTGCACCAGTACGAGGGAGGGCTTTAATTGCAGTTGCGGACCAGGCTATAAAGGTAATGAAGTTATTACTGTGAATGATGGTTACACAAGTAAATACTAAACAAAACAACTGTCCACATTTTCTGAAGGGGGAGGTACCAAAAGACACCCTATAATAGGCTTGAGACCTAATGACGTCAAGCTTTGTTTTCATGTGCCATTTTCTATGTGGTAGACGGTCCCTACTTCCTGGCATGCAACTTTTCCTCGGATCTGCTGATTTCCTGGTCTTTTTTACTTCTCGAGAATGCCATTACAAATTAAAAAACACTGTACAAAGTTTTGTTTGGTTTGGAGTTTCATTTCTTCTAAATTCCCAGTTGCATGCCTGTACTTCGTCTGGCGTCCCGACTTCGCTTCCCTAGGAAAGCGCATGTAAACAAAGCCATTATGTCATTAGGTCTCAGGTCTAGTACAGACCTTAACTCTGAATCTCCAGGGTATTTGGCTAGAAACCGTCTTGAACACTTGCTGAAATTTGAGGCCAGTCCAGTTTAACAAGTAGTTTATTTCACGTGAACAGATTCGCTGATTATTTAGGCAAGACCCCGCCTCTTGACCTCCTAGATTTTGACCAATCAGCGGGCACTTTCTATATCGGGTCTTTGGTCATTCACCCGTTGCACGTCACATAGACAATGGATTAAAAAAAATGTGTCGCACGCTCTGTATCATGTTACGCGATATCGCGCCCTGCTGTTGTTGTATTACAAAACACTGCATTCGAATTGACCAATCGAACATTTAGTCCTGATTTAGGAATGAAATGACGTCACGATTTAGTAAAGTCAACTCCGATTGGCTGGTGCGCGGCTTGCATAAATTTGCATGTCAGGAGATGTCAGACGTTCTCCAGGATTTGGCTCCGTGGATAACGGGTGATACTCATACTATTTAACAAGATCCTTGAGGACAAAAATCTTGAGCCCAAACTGCCTCAAGTTTTTAGTCATCATCTGCACAGATACAGCCATTACAACATGGCGGTGTTCAATGGGTATAGGGTTGCAGGCCAGTAAATTGGTTCGAAATCGCCTACGCCGGCCAAATCATGATTTGCATGCCCTCAAATTCTTCGCTATTTGAGCATATTGTGGGCTGTGAACTTGAGGGTTTGTAAAAAATATGGATGAAAGCTGTGCACAGGACTGTGAGCTTGTAGTTCTGTGCAATGTGGATGAAATTGGAGCCCTAAAAGCACTCTATTTTGCAATGGAGTGTAGGCGTCATTTTTCGAAATGGCGATGGGCTTCAGGATCATTTTAAGGGGTGATCATCTTCGGATAGAAATTTCACCTAAAAGTCATCAGGTAACCCCCCGAAAATTGAAAAGAAAATGAAAGATGACGAAATTAGCTTTAATTTGATGTGTGTCTGGAATACCTTGAAGAATTGTGAGTATTTTTCCTGAATTTTTGAAGTGGGGGCATTTATCATTGGGGTGTATGGCAGTTTATTTACTGGTCTGCAACCATAGCTCTCATTGTTTCAGAATTTGTTGTTTATGCGCTGGTGTTGACAGCTTAATGCAGCAAACCCGCAGACTTTTACACATGATGCACTGTGTTTTGTCTGGGAGGATATAACCAAAATTGTTGGGCTCAAGATTTTTTTTTCGAAAAGCAGTTGCTGTTTTTCTTTACAAATAAAGCTATTTCAGATTTACTATTTTTAGGCTCTTTTAGTGTAGTGTTTGGACCATTTCCAATGTCACACTCAACTTAAGTGCCACTTCTCGCAAACACAGGCACGTTTTGTGAGGAAAAGTTACCAGACTGTGCCAGCAACCTGTGTCAGAATAATGCGACGTGCGAGGACCTAGACTACGGCTACAAATGTCACTGCCCTGACGGCTACAGTGGTACCGACTGCGCGATTGACATTGACGAGTGTTTCAACGAACCGTGTGCAAATGGAGGCAGTTGCACAGATGCCGTCAATGACTTCATCTGTATTTGTAATGGCACTGGTATGTTCAAATCATTAGTATTTTCCAAATCATCGTCAAATTCACATGGTTGCTTTTTATCTTAGGTTTTCTCATGGATTTTAGTTTTAGGCAACGACATAATGAGGCAACATTATATGTCATTGAAAATGAGCACTATCACATATTCACTTGTCCAAACCCAGACAAGTTTGTTTGTGGTGTAAATTGAAGATTTTCTTTTGTTCCTCTTCCCTTTTCCTTTGTTTATACTTTAACTTTTTCACGACAGCTCTCATTGGTTTTGTACACGTTTTCCAACCGAGGAGTCCTCGATTCATCAATGATGTTGCATGAGTGTGTCCTCGATGTACACCATAAACATGCACACCTATCCAACCGCAAATTGCTCTCACAACAAACTTGTGAAGGAAATGCAGGGGTCAAAAACCGTTGCAGATATTTCACGTGCCATTTCAGACCTCGCAAACCTATACATTGCCAATAACTGTTCCTCTTGCTCCACCGATGTTTTGGCCCTTTTATTTTCTTCAACCATATAATTGAATTGCTCCAGATGGCCAGAAGGCTGTGCAGAACTACAGGAATCATCCGTCGTCGGCATGTTCCAACTTAGTTGTAATGATTATAAGATAGAATTTTGCGTTTGGGTGATATAAATCAAATTATAGGTTTTGCCTTTCAGCGACGTTTAAACACTGTATACTCAGTGTGTTACCTCCCGAGTGAAAGTTGGAAATCACTTTTTTCCAACTTTCACTCGGGAGGTAACACACTGAGTATACAGTGTTTAAACGTCGGTGAAGGGCAAAACCTATAATTTGATAGTTGTAATGACTAGTAAGACACTAGCTCTTGACTCAAGATGTGGACGCAGCTTAAAAAGCTGCCAACCGTTCCTCCCAATATTCATCATTTCCTCTCCTCGCTTCTCCCTGACAGGTTACCAAGGCAAAAACTGCTCCGAGGACGTCGACGAGTGCCTGAGCTCCCCCTGTCTCAACGACGGCACCTGCACCAACAAGCCAGGAACCTTTGAGTGCACCTGCAAGGATGGCTGGTTGATACCTCACTGCCACCTACCCGATCTCTGCTTCCAAAAGCCTTGTGAGAATGGAGGCATTTGCGAAAACATCATCTCGCCGGACGGTATGTCGGTTGAGAAGGAGTGCTACTGCAATACAGACTACGATGGCCCAGACTGTGAAAAGGTTAGAGAAAATTCTTTCTCTGTGGACATACTCTCTGAGATAGAAGGCACTAAAGAGTTTGTCCTGACTTTACAAAATCTTAACTGAGATGTAACAGGGACACGAAAAATATTGGACCCCAAATCTATGGAATGACCCACATGGCATTCGCTACTTTTACTATCTTGCTGTGCACGGCCAAAAATACAATGGCTGAACTATATGCAAAGCAGCCAACGTAGCAACCGGTATGCATGTGTGCAAATACATACGGCGGTTGTGCGCATTGCGCGTATTTTTCCCATGTGCTAGTGCCACAAAAACTGGGTTCATACATTTCACGAAAGCATAGTTTGAACAAATGGAAGTACATTTTCAACTTATTCCATATTAAAATAAAAGTACAGTCGAACCCTGATAAGAAGAGCATTGTTGATACAACATCCTGCTTATATAACAAGGAAAATGTTAGGCCCCAAGTCTTTGTTTTTCTTTGTTTTGCTTTATTTTTCATTACTGCATAATACGCGGTACCTGTTATAACAAGGTAATTTGTAAAGTCCCAAGGACCTTGTTATAAAGGTGTTCGACTGTGTATTTTGATTGAATTTTAGTTAAATTAATCACTTGTCGTCTAAATCAAGCAGAATCTGTGGGTGACGGATTGTAAAACAAATATTGATTGCTGTGACTCGTGGTATAGTAAAACTAGCCTCCCACGGTGATCCATGGAGCGTTCCACTTCATTTCTAAACAGAATGCCTCATTGATCACCTGGGGAGGCTAGTTTTACTACACCACTCCGATGAATTCAATACTTGTATACTGTAACTCATGGTGTAGTAAAACTAGCCTCCCTTGGTGATCCATGGAGCGTTCCACTTCATTCCTAAACAGAATGCCTCATTGGTCACCTGGGGAGGCTAGTTTTACTACACCACTCGAAGCAGTCAATACTTGTTTACTGTAACTCATGGTATAGTTAAACTAGCCTCCCACGGTGATCCATGGAGCGTTCCACTTCATTTCTAAACAGAATGCCCCATTGATCACCTGGGGAGGCTAGTTTTACTACACCACTCGAAGCAGTCAATACTTGTTTACTGTAACTCATGGTGTAGTAAAACTAGCCTCCCTTGGTGATCCATGGAGCGTTCCACTTCATTCCTAAACAGAATGCCCCATTGATCACCTGGGGAGGCTAGTTTTACTACACCACTCGAAGCATTCAATACTTGTATACTGTAACTCATGGTATAGTTAAACTAGCCTCCCTTGGTGATCCATGGAGCGTTCCATTTCATTCCAAAACAGAATGTTTATAGTATACTCTATCTAATTGTTTTCCACTGGCCCCTGGTTGAGTAAAATAGTTCCTCCCCAAGCAGGGAAGTTCATTTCCAATAATCCCCTTTTGTGTCTTTACTCTTAGTTCATCGGTAACCCGACCAACTGGGCCCTGATTGGTGGCGTAACGGGCGGGGCCGTCTTGCTTCTCATCATCGTCATCATCTTGGGCATCTTCCTGGTCAAGGTTAAGAACAAGAGAGCCACTAGAGGTACCTACAGCCCCAGCCGACAGGAGATCTCTGGCTCTAGAGTGGAGATGGATAATATCCTCAAGTTGCCTCCGGAAGAGAGGCTCATCTAGGATCCATACTCAACCTCATTCCCCTGACGATGGTCCCAATTGGTAAAGTCATTCTCGAGTAGCCGTTTTGCACACAGCGCTCCGACCGATCATTACTTGGAGACTGTTACTGTGGACATGTTTTGAAAAGAGAATCCATGTTCCCTACTTTTTTTGACATCCTGCCAGGGGTTTCTGTGGGGAATAAAAGTCAACTTGTGGGAATGAGGTTGATGCAGGAGCCGTCTTTGTCTAGTTGCCAATGTTCAATACATTGGTGCAGATTGGAGAGCAAACATAATTGGCACCAGCCTACTTGTACATGAGCCGTATTGAAAAAAAAAATTACCACCGCATGCGAAAGACATATTATTTTTTTTTTATTCTAAAGTATGATATACCCACAGACAAGTGAATATCATAATTGAAGCTTTGCTTTTAAACATTTTTAATATCATTTTACCCGGATTTTACTCAATCTGCCCACTGGTTATATTTTTTTAATAAAATTTGTCAATATTCGAGAAAAGTTTTAAACAAACTGACAAATTTATCCCGAAAAAATAGTTTTGTTTTTAATTAGAATACATTGACTGAAAAGGGCATGTGATACAACACAGTATACAACATAATAGATTCAAGAGTGCCTTACAACACCGTCCAAAAACAATTAAAAAATTCCAGCAGTTGTCAGTTTGTGTGAAGTCATGTGACGCAATTATATTGAATGTTTTTACCAAATATGTAAATATATTTATATATGAAAAAAGGTAGGTTGTAGGATTTGAAATTCAAATGGAAAGGATTTCTTAGGATTACTCTGAAAAGGGGAAAAATATCAACTCGTTTAAATAAAACTACTTCAATTTGTGAAGTTTAAAAAAAAAATTGTTTAGAATACTTAATTTTTTGCAAGTTATTCCTGTGCTTTTATTTCAATGGTAGTTTCATCACTATATAAAAGAAATAAAAGAAATTTGTATTTGATCTCTTAAGTATTACTTCATATTATTGTTTGAATTTGTATTTATTTAATCAAAGAATTGTGTTTGTTTCCTTTTATATCATCTTTGCTCTTTATTTAGCTTTTTTATGTTACATGTACTACCGCTTGCTAGTCATCAGAACAAATAGGCCTACAACAAAACAATGTCATGGTTTGTTTACATGTGCATAAAATACACGTGTAAGCAAAGCATTTCTGGCTGTTAAATATAGGGCCAGTCATAAAAAAAGAAGCCCAAATGTCAGGACCATATTTTTAATGAAGTTCTGCATGTAGCACTTTCAAAATCTAGGATATGAAGGCCCAATTCATCAGCTTTCTTTTGGTACAAGAATCATTCGAATCACTCACGTACTTTTCAAGTTACAGAATTTTGAACACAAACACCGTTTTAAAGTTCTGTCCATCGATCACCAATAAGGAATAGTGTTCTTTCAGCAAAACGAAAACAACATCCCTATGTGAATTGTTTCCATTTTCTGAAAGAACACTGCAACTTGAAAAGTACACAAGTAATTTGAATGATTCTTGTACTATTTGAAAGCTTATTAATTGGGCTTGCATATATCCTAGATTTTGAAAGTACTACATGCAGAACTTCATCAAATAGTTGGTCCTGCCATTGGGGTTTCCTTTTTTTTTACTCACCCTGTATACAGACCTAACATTAACCCATTGCTGCTTTATTATGTAGATAATGTAATTTGATTAATTTGATTATTATGTAGAATTGATATGTTGTTAGTAAGTTACTTAAGCATTCCTTTACGTTATAGAACTTTTGCTGTATTCCAATGTAAATAGCTGAAGATTTTTTGGTTCCATGCTTTTAACCTTTTACAGTAGGTATCCTCTAGTTAATTTTACAAATAATTTCTACCGTTATTTCAGTACTAGAAATGATGTTGAAGTGTGTGTGTGTCTTTTTTTCGTAAAATTATTAAACACCTTAGAAACGAATCTACAGTTTTAAGAAGCATTGATACAAAGGAAGTTTGACACTAAAAAATAACAAGGTTATTGTTAAACATAGATAACACACGCACTCCAGTCTATAATTTTGGACTACCTAAAGCTTTCTGAATGTCTCATCTGCTGTGAAATGCATTTATAATCAAGTTTGACAATTACAGATAATGTTGCTAACAGCTGTCTTCAGCTTGTGGATGTATCCACCGACATTTCAAATCATTTCCTAGATATTAGATATTCTTTCAGAATGAGACATACGTTCTTTATGAGACCAAATGTGAACTGCGTGCTCCAAAATGTATTTGTGCAGTTCTCTGAATTGGAGCACCATGCTTTTTTGTATGGTTTTAATGATATAAGCATTGGATATGTGCGTGTATGTTTTTAACGTGTGGTTTTCAATGATGTGTGTTTCAAGCCATATCCTTTACATGAATATATTCTATGGTTTATTGTAAAGTGGAATTTGAAAGGTGGTGGCAAAATTAACTCAGTACTACCTAGCAGTACAATTGTTTTTCAATTTATAAATCATTTGTAAGTATTCAGATAATTCCCTAGGCAAGCACTTTTTTTTATTCATTGTACATTTATGCAAATACAAGGTGCTGATGGAAAATTTGCTCATTATTATTAATTATATTGAGGATTTTGTTTTTAATAAACTGTCATTAGCCAATCAGAATCCTGGATGGTAACTAAGAAACATCATATGGCAAGTCCTCAGTGTCTCATTGGTCAAAAGTTTGATGCATATTCATTATGTGTTGTTAAATGTGTCCCTGGTTTGAGATATAGTGTCATATATTTACAGGTCAAATGTGATAGGTCTGACGAATGTATTTGCCGACAAAATATTTGAGCTTAGCTCTATAAAAGTGGTTCATCGTTACAAGTTGGATTTCAAGTAGCTTTATCAAAAGTAACATTTGACATTAATTTAAGAGGTAACAGACAAAAAAACAAGAAAATTCAGAGCGCGGTAAGAATGTCTCTTGCAATGTATAAGGATCAAACAATCTGATGTCTGAACAATTAATGAAATTAGAATATATGATCTTTTTATTAATTACAAGGTTGTGACGGTAGCATTGTTAACAACAATGATGGCCACCACTTCATTTTTAGTATTTTTGTAAATTGTTGATTCACGCATGTACACACATGTTTGCTCATTGCCAATATTTAGATGAGGATAAACCTGATACGTGATCCAAAGATTACCTAAACAAATAGTTCATTCAGATGTTTCAACTAAAGCTGAAAACTGCTTTTGAAAATGAAAAAGGCGGATAACTGTAAAGGTTTTGTGGGAAACTTTCAGGCACGAGTCGTCCCTTGTAGATGAGCTTTTACCAGAAAAATACTGCTTGGCAAAACTTCCATTAAGCCAAAATTGGTTTATTAACCATACTGTGTACCAAAAACACTTCTGTCTGGTTCTTGGGATGAAGGAAACTTTTCTGAATTCAGAAAATCTTCCTGAAATTGGCCCGATAATTTTTGTTCCTCTCAGATTGTAGTACCCAACGAATGTTCAGTACTTTAATAATTGGTCTATGGCCACGGTTGTAGTTTACAACAGTAATCTAATGAGGTTTTAACAAACCCTGTTAAAGTTATAATCAAGATGTACATATGTTGATTGCAATCTTCTGTATTGTAATCGTTGCTGTAATGGGAATATATTTTAGTATGGAGAAATCTTTGAAATGTTGTCTGAAACGTCTTCATTTGTTGTGTTGGTTCATTTTTTTGCTACCGTTCACTTTTCTGATGAATCCTTTCAAGTTAAAAATTGTAGGTTTTTTTTATTTGAAAAACATTTTTTTTTGAATTTTTCTTTTGAAATTTTGATTGTGACTATTTCGATTTCATTGACATTTATTGATCCTTTTTTTTTTTTTACATGTTAACGTTTTCAAGACATTTTCATTATTAGCTTCTTAACTCAATTTTTCTGCTAACTTCATTGCATTTCAGACCTTTTAAATTTCGATTCAGCATTTTTTTGTAACGCTTGAGTTTTTTAAATTTCAACTACTGATGTGTTTGATTCGGTTAAATTTTAAGTTCAGTGATACATTTCAATTTTTTTTATTGCATTTTTATAACTCCACTTTCTTGCATTTAACTCTATTTTTGTTTGTTCAATTGCAACTACACTGATAACTTGTTAATCAAGTTGCATCTAAGACACTTTTTATTAACAAGACGGTACAGTTCACGTCTGAGTAAACTCACGTGTTCACGTTTTGCAGACAAAAAAACAAAACAAAAACCCGAGTGTCCCATTTGCATCCCCGGTAGGCAGAGATGGCAGGCAAAAAGTCAATTCCAAATTTGGAATATATCCATCAGGCACTTGTCCTGACAGTAAGTCTTATTACAAATAACCCAATCAACTCGGCAAACTTTTTCTTGTCTACTTTTCCACATTTTATTAAATAATGGAATGCGACCATTGTTCATATTACAGCTTGGCTGTATCACAAAGAGGCCTTCATATGTAAGTATTTTCTTGGAAAATACACAGAAAAAGTACAAGACAAACTCTGAAGTCTGTTATTCTTTTTGCTGGGAACCTCCAAAATTCTTTTACTGGGAACCCCCAAAATTCTTTGAATTGTTTTGCAGTTTTTACGAGCTTGGTCACATATTTGGTCCAACGTAATTAAGAAAAAAAGAAAGTAAAGAACAAAATGCAAGTGTAACACTCAAAACCTTCAAAATGGGGTATTATTGGCTACTGGCTTCCATGAGAACCCCCCCCTCCCGAATTGACTAATCCAATAGGCCCCGCCCACGTGGGCAACAATACATGAGCCTCTCCAATGCCACACATGTTCCGGTTACGTGCTTCATAAATGTAGGTACATGTACGTGCATGCATGTCAGATATATCAACATTAATCATTGTTGTAATTGGTCCACTGCAGACATTGGGCAGGGCTTATTAAGAGGCATACATGTAGGTTCATTTGCATTTATCCCAAAAGTAACCTATGAAATTGTTATCAAAAAGCTTACTTGGATTAAAGCAGCACTTACACTATTCACCCCGTGAAATTATTTTGTCTGGCTGGCTGTCATTTAGACAATAATCAAGAAATGTAGGTGATTTCCAACGATTAGTCAATTGACTGATTTTTGGAAATCTAGACAAAAAAGTGTATTGCGATCAAAAGATTGTGCAGGTTTTTTTCCACAGTTTTCTCGAAAAGCGTACATGTACTTTCTACTGAGTTGAAACTTCAACAGGTTTGAACATTCTTCTTTGGATTTTGAGTGGTGTTATCATGGAAACATACAAAATGCATGAAAAGCAAATGATCCTATAATATGCCTTTAATGGATCGCTCAATTACCTGACCTTTTGAGTGGTATGCTACACTTGGATAATGAGTGAAGCACTCTTTCAAAACGTCAACAATTGGTTTTCTTCAAGAACATCATGCCCCAAAAAAGATTTGCATGGTGTAATCTATCTACCTCAACCCTTTGTTACAAATAGGCCACATTTTTAAGTGAATAAGGCTGTTGTAACACCACTGCTTGTGGGGTACCAACCCTATAAAATTTGTTTGAGACATGTTAACAATTTTTAATTGTGAATTGTGGTAACTTTTAAATGTATACATGAACTGATGAACATGTATGCCAATAACCTAGGATTTTCATCTTTACACACTCCCACCATGGTATTACAACAGCGCCCTCACTAGCTCAAGAATGAGGCCTAGTTTTAGCTTAAATTTCCCACTGAACAGAATGTGTTTGCGCTGTACAAATACATATCGTAAGCTCAATTTTTTGGACAAAATAACCTCAAATGTGGCCAGTGGTGTACATTGTATGTATGTACATGTACATATCTTTATTTATTTACATATTTCTGTACAGTTTGGACCAGTTTTACCACATACGCTACTCAAGGACTCATACCATCCTTGAAAATGCTGATTTCAACGACATTTATTGTAATGCTCAACTACATACTCCACTGGTGTCTATCAACAAATCCTGGTGACATCGCTCTGAAACGTATGCAATGTTTTCATAATTCCCACATACTAAACGAGTGCATACATTTTGGAGAACAAAATGGACTTGAAGTATCGGTGTGGCTCCAGATTTTGTTGTGCCAACAATTTACTTGTAACATACGCATAAAATAATGAATCAAAGTAACCACGCATAGGTTAACACCATTAAATGAAGGTCAACATGCCCGTGTAAACCCTTTATTGTGTAATGGTTAAAATAAAAGAAGCAAATTTTGGCTCAAGCGGGCTGCCGTTTCTCTGCAAGCAAAAATAAATAGTTAAAATGCTGGCACTGTGGTACTGAAGCAAAACAGTTTTCTTTTTGTCCCCAAATTAAAAAAACGACAAAATGACTGAAATCTTGGAGATTCCCAATGGTCCTTGGATCAAGGTGTTCGTGTAGCCGAGGGGCGGGGCTTGAGTTGTCAGAGGGGTGCTGGTGTGGGCACGCTCATTAGCGGCGAGTCCAGAGGTTCGGGGATCACAGCTGGGCTTGGAGCATGCGCTTCAATCTTCTTCAACACACTGCCGTACAAGTCGCGTACTTCTTGACCATGCTGTAGAGAACAAGAAGTAAAAGTGATTTTTGGTTGTCGTCTTTTTCAGCAACTTTAGCCACGGGCACAAAAAATCTAGTGGAATAAGCCTCTCTACTAATGACGTCACACTTTGTTTACGTGTGTAAACAAAGTGGTGCTCAGTGGACCGTGGGCCCCCACTGGCTCCATAAGAAAGTGCACATGTAAACAAAGTGTGACGTCATAAGTACACAGGCTTATTAAAACCTATCCAACAATAACACAAGTCAGCAGCCATCTAACTATGCATACCTAGGGTTTCCCTTGAAAAATGAGAAGTTTTCCACACCGAAAACAAAGGTGCACCACTCTAAAGACTATAATGTGGCACATGGAAATTAAGAATCATTTTAACTCCCCCCAACCTTGCAAAAGCTTCCCTCTAACATTATCATTGTCTAAAGCATTAATTTTAAATTTCACCCACCATGAATGGAAATTCAAGCGAAGTAGTGAGACAACTCCAATTCTGGATCCCTAACTTAATTTGGACACACAGTACTTAACAAGCTTTACTCTAATTGATGAATAGTCTTTTAAGACTCCTCCACAGAACCTACCTCTGTCTTTGGTTCCAATTTGTCCATCAACTTCAAAATTCTCTGCGAGGGCATTTTGTGGAAGACGTACTCCAGAAGTCGCAGTGAGTGTCTTAAGACATTCTCCTGCACGCTGGACGCCAGAAGAAAATCGTCAAAGATGAGGTTGCAAAATGTCTCGGAGGCAAAATCCTCCCCCATAAGAGCCAGCTGGGAGGAGAAGGGATGCAGGAAGATGTCCTCGTAAGACATATTGCTCTCCGTCTTGATAATCTTGGGCAGGATGCGGGACAGAGCCTCCTTGTTCCTCTGTCTGGTGATGTATAAGATGTAGTACAGCAGCAAGGTGGCTGCGATGCGGTCCTTGCGGGAGGACTTGAGGAGCTGGTTCGGCACGTCTTTGAGTTTCGGATCATCCTCGGTCTCGTGGATACGTCGGTTGATCTGGCGGGTGTAGTCATCGGCAAGGAGGGACACGAGACTTGGGAGGAATCTCACAACAAGGTCGTTTTCCTAAAGGCAGTTAAAAGATGAAATTCATCAGGAAATTAATTCAACTACCCATTTGAAATGAGAGCGGCCTCAGGACTTTCAAAATGTTCCCAGCTTTTCAATATAGCGATTGGTTTCGGTATCTGCTGTTATATCGCATCTGAACCTGCCACCTGACCCATGCAAGCTCGATGGTCGAGTGGTAAGATTATCTGCCCTAGTAAGCAGGAGGTCTTTGGTTCGAGTCCCACCCGAGCAACCTTGCCTGCTTTTTCTTGCAGGCCTTTGGAATAAAGTGAGTATTCAGTGTTTTTGAAATTACATTGGTGAAGGGCAAAACACAATATTGAAGACTCCGGCTTACCATTTTAGGTTCCCGAAAGACTTGCTTGTCAATCATGTCCCAGGCACCAAGTCCCAACGCAAGCATCCTCAGAAGCAATAACAAGACGGCACTCTCCTGTTGAACAAAGTAGCAAAAATTATAATACATGGTGTAGTGTGTAAACGTATTTTGTAAATAAAATAACTCTCTGCATTATCAAATATGTCCATACACAGAAAACAAGTAACACCAAGGAGTCATGTTGTGCATTGGGTCGGGTCGACCTGGCCAAACCGACCCGAAACATTATAGATGTAAACCGAATTTGAATTGAAACCGATCTGAACTCCTTAAATCTGAGTGACCCAACCCAACCCGACACACAAATTCAAGCAAAAACCAACCCGAACCGACCCGAAACCAAACCGACCCGAAAAAAAAACCCTGCATATCTGGCTTGGGCTACTGTGTCCGCTTTTTGTGTCGAACTAATAATCGCGTACCGTGAAAATAGTCGTCTCACAGAGTGAGTACGACTCGTAACTTTGGCTGGGCCTACATGTTATAGACAGCGCGTGATTGACCGCAAACCATGTGCACATTCTTGAGGTGGGTTGACATTGGTAGTACCGGCACAGTAACTATGCAGTAATATTGCACAGGCTAAATTTTCAAACTGTTTCGGGTTTTTTTTTTGGTTTTCAAAAGACAGCTTAACCGACCCTGCCCGGCCCGACCCAAATATCACAAAAGCAAAACTGAAACCGACCCAACCCAACTGAAATGATGGACACACCGACCCGACCCGACCTGAAGTCAGTTTCGAGATACATGTACATTTATACTTTAGTGTGTATCTTTTATCCAGGCTAATTCCAGTTAATGGCATTTGAAATCAAGACTTGTGCTTGTTAGAAGTTGTACAGCCAAATAGAAATAAAAAAGATTATAAAAGTGTAAAAGTTTTTTATGTCTAGTGTATTTATGAATATTCAGTAGCTGCGCATGGTGTCCAGAGTATTGCTCGACGTGTTCGTGGTCTGACAGTTTTGGCAGAAACTTACCCAGTGTGTTTGTCTTTCAAGTACGTACCATATTAGAAGTAGCATCTTACCCTTGGCAGTTTCTCAGTGTTCAGGAGATGTTGTAAGACCTTGATACTGCTACTGGCAATGGTGTGTATGGAGAACGGGTCGCAGAGAATCATCGAAAGGTCACTGAAAAATGATAGGAAAATGCCATAAAAATTGCCATTAAATTAATACTAAACCAGTTCATGTCTGACGACGTGTACATGTTCATGTATGTAAACACGCAAAGGTTTTGCGGTATTCGGAATGGATGAAAGATATACACGCAATGAGCGAGGCTGGTGTCATAGGAAAATCCGACTCCTATGAAAATCGGACTCTTTTTCCCTATTATTGGTTAATCCCTTGCACGTGACAGGTCACTCTCCCATATATGATCTTAAAACTAGCATATTATTGTACTTAGGCATGTGCAATACTACCAATGAGTCCATATTTCATGGAGTCCGATATTCAAGCCACACCGGAACTATCTGTTAGCGACCCGCTCGCAATAAGCAAGGCTGGAAATATCAGGGTGTGCTACCCGCAGATGACGGCCTGAACCCATCTGGCATCGAGGTTTGAGACAAACAATCCTGCCCCTGGGTCCGGTTGATGTCAAAATATTCCCGGCGGGAACTGGCTCAAAAAAGTCTGTGCAGTTGAGGTTTTAAGTTTTATTACAAAGGTGCTTTTGAAATTGTGAATGGTCCATTCTTAATTGTTTGTTTAAAAATAAAAAATTGAGAACTTTAGAACACAATATTCACCCAAGAACTTGTTCCTGTCCTCTCCTGACTCCGTCAAGAAATCCCTGGAGTTCTCGGGCTCGCTTCTCATCGACGAACTTCTCCCGGATGCAGGCATCCAAACACCAGGTGAACTTATGGCACGGATCCTCCGTACAAATCTCATGGACTTCCATGTCGTGCAGAACCATAAGCAGCTCGGCCCGCAGGGTGCAGTAGTGAACTGTCCTCGTACGCAGAAACAACGTCCTCAGAAACTGCAGTACCATGTCGTAGAGTCGGATGCTCTTGCCGACCATGTTTGCTAGTTTCTGGACCACTTCGCCCTGGCGACGCGTTTTGGGCGTCACCGAGAAGAACATGTGTGAGTTGATCGTCTCGCTACCAAACAAGATCGCTTCCTTGCTCTTGATGTAATCTGTCAGCAACGGAGACACTTCATCGCCAAACAGCGATGGATTCTGCTCCCAGATCTGGCGTTTGACTTCAGTTGACGCCGCTTTGTAGAGTTCTCGGTCGTCAACAACGACGGTCAGATACTTTGCAGGGACTCTAGGGAGCAGCTTCATGATCTCCATGACAACCGGCTGCACAGATTTCACTCTGATGAGAGGGAAACACTTGGACAGTAACTCCTCAATGGTCTTGTAGGATTTCTTGTTGCCGATCTCGGACAGCTGCCGGCACTTCTCAATGAGTTGCTGTCGGAGTTCTTCCATGATGGATCGGTGGAATTCATAACGGCGGATGCTGTGGAGGTCCAGCAGGGGCAGGGCTGGTTGGAGGGTGGGCAGGAGGATCCCATTCTCCGCTTGGAAGTCTTCGATGGCTTGCTGGGGATCTGTGCAATTAGTGAGGGCCTCCCGCAGATGATCTGGCCCAGCGATGCCAATCTCTTCAAATCCTGACATTCTCGGAGTAATACAAACCTCAAGAGGTACCCTGTATGAAAATTGAGAAACGTATTCTGTTTCTAGAGAGTTAATGAAGTCATAGATATTATAAACAATATAGGCCTAGGCCTGCACAAGTACTGTCCAATCACAACAAGTTCGTGAATCATTCACGAAGCAAAGGATCGACTTAAAGGGACACTAGGTCCTGGAAAAGCCCAATTGGGCTACAAAACGCGCTTTGAACGAGATGATGTTAATCGGAAACAACATTCAAAAGTAGGATATAAACATCCACACAACTATCCTTTCAAAACTGGGCGTTTTTGAGTTATTCTTGTATTATGCGTGCGAGAACGAATTTCGGGGTCCACTTTTGCGACCCCATTAATTTGAGCTGTTTGGCTGCTGCTTGTGATTTCATTTGCAAAGTGTTCGCCTTTTGCGGACGTTGAAGAAACCACTTTTTTTTGGCTTTGGTGATTGGTCAGTGCTGCTCCCAAGATACACAACGTGTATATCGAACACTGAGAACGACACAAAAAACATATTCGTACTCCATCTTGTCCGAGCAGGATTTTTTCGTCTTTTCTCAGGAACGGTAAGACATTAGGTTGGTTTCCTTTCAACCAGATGTTTGAAATAAGCTAAGTAAACAATCCAAAACATAACATTTTCGGGGATTTCAGGACATAGTGCCCCTTTAAAACAGAATCAAACTGATCAAAATATGCAATAAATTATGATTTCAGCAGCTGTGTTGAGGCCGAATCCCACGGCCTCCAGTATTTACAGACCGCTGGCCACAACATACGCTGGCTAGGGCCTAGGCTACCTCCATGGCTAAACATGTCAAATTCCCAACATGCCCAATGATGAGCATTGGACACATGTTGGAGCTGGAGTTTCGTAAGCTAAAACTTTTACCCAAACAGTGCTGATTCCCTGAATCCTCTAATTTATCCATACGATTTTGCATACCTCCTACATGCCTTAGGGAGTTAGGCATGTTAGGGTTAATCTGAGACTGAAAAACATTTCCAATTTTGTTAAAAAATATTTTGAAAAGGCAATGTATGCAACTCTCCATGCCCATGGACTGGAAAAACATATTGCAACCTGATGCCACTTCAGCAGTTGTGTGCAAAGTCGATGGTAGCCCCATAAATGTGGCCTATTTACTGGACTGCCTCCGTAAACATAGGCCACACGTCCACATGTACAAAAATCGTGTCGACTTTGCCAAATTTTGATTTTCACATTTAGGCTTAGTTTGTAGGATTTTTTTGCTTTAGAAGCATACTCACCCACTTTATAGGCTAGTCAGAAAGTGCTGCCTTTTTCAGATGTCTAATTTTTGTGAAATTTCATGTTGAAATTTTGATACGCAAACGTGTAAAAATGAATCTGGAAATTTCACGAAAAGTATACATCTGAAAAAGGCAGCACCTTCTGATTAGCCTATAAAGAGGGTGAGTATGCTTCTAAAGCAAAAAAAAACCTACAAACTAAGCCTTAATGTGAAAATCAAAATTTGGCAAAGTCGACACGATTTTTGTACATGTGGATGTGTGGCCTATGTTTACGGAGGCAGTCCAGTAAATAGGCCACATTTATGGGGCTAAGTCGATGGGGGATCCGGCCGGCCGAGAGTCAATAACATTTTTTAGTATTTCGTAACAAAATTTGAAATGTTTCTCAGTGAGTATGTGAGTCCCAGATTCATGTCGTAACAGCATTTTTGCAATGAATGACCTTCATTGAGATTATAGTGGCGTCAGATTGTAACAGTTTGTCCGAGGCCCTCACCAAGCGCCAGGGAATGAGGGATGGTACACAAGACTGACAAGTGTCGGTAATACACGTTTTTACATTATGATGTACATGTACTCTATGCATCGCTGATTCGCTGTAGGCCTACATGTACATGTCCACGTTGACAAACGACGCACAGTGCTGCACATCAAGTCGCACTGTATTTAACTAATTATATTGTAACTCATGACAGATTTGACATACCAAAACCCTCCTGATATCCTTGGGGACCAGTCAGTAATGTTGTAGAGCCGTTTGAGCTCCCTGACCGGAGTAGATTTTGATTTTTCCCGCAGCAGTCAATTAAGCGTCGTTTCACTTCGAAGATGGCCGCCATGGGCCAAATTATTTGCGCATGCGTGCTAATACCAAACCCGACTTTTTGCTTTCCACATTGGTTCTCGCGAGATACATGCATAGTACGCGTACATCTTCGTGCGGACACGTTGTCTGTATAGTGGGCACCAGTTAAAATTATGAGAAAAATAGTTGGTTTAAATATCTTTTTAAATCACATTTTGAATAAGGGATCGCATGTGGTAAACCCTGTGTGAAACCACATGGACATGGAAGTTGGGGTGTGTAATTTATTCAAGAATTGATTTAGTTTGTTTAATAAAAAGTAATCCATATTTTTATTTGGGGGGGGGGGGGGGGGGGTTGGGGGTGGGATGGGGGTGTGGGAGTTGGTGGGGGAGGGGGTGGAGGGTAGGCCTAATGTGTTCTTATTCCTCCATGGCCTATGTGACGCAAAGGCTGACTGTTGCTCCATATGATTATAATTTATTTCTTCTTTATTTCTCATTGTTTCAACTTTGACTTTCGATGGAAAAACATACTGTGCCATGTCGTTTTCACTTTGCCTTAGGCCTCCAAGGATTAAGTATTCTGTCTTCTGTGATCCAACCCCAGCTCAGGCGTATATACGGTGTTTAGTGAATCATAGAACAATAATGAATTGACTTATGATCTTTATCTTGATTTGGAATCAACTGGGCACTAGCAGTAAATGGTTCGTGGTCTGATCAGCTTATATTAAGTTGAACAGAAACACAATGTTAAAGCAACTGCCTCGTTGGCGCAGTCGGCAGCGCGTCAGTCTCATAATCTGAAGGTCGTGAGTTCGAGCCTCACACGGGGCAATGATTTTTGGTTAATTTAAAAAAAACATGCACAGATAGTTTATCGTTGCAATGGTAATGATTTCGTAACCCTAAAATGTCTTCACCCGCTTTATAAATTATTAACATTAACGCTTTGGACCAATAATGCTGCCGTTTTGTGAACGATAAGATAAAGTCAATGTTATATAAAATGTCAAAATCGAGGCAGGCGACCTCTCAGCTTTTTGATGTACTCCTTTGGTTTCGTACTGGAATTGTTGTAAAGGATCGACACTGGAAGAAAAAAAAACACCCGGAAAAGATATGAAATGTATATTACCCGGATTTTACCATGATACCCCCTCTTTTGTGAGTGCCCGTTTTCGGGGCGGCCTGTACCCCTCCGTAAGCTATACCGTGACCCCTTTGCTGCACTCCCTTTTGTCCCTTTTTTCCCCTTTTGTCAAGTCGCATAATGGATCTTTTCATTGAAAATCGAATTCTGCTTCGCTGATCAGGGCCAATCCTCCACTGCAGTGAGCCATTTTGTTTGTGTGCTTATCAGCTCATTATCGATGTACATTTACACCCTGTGAGATTCTCAGCCGGTGCAGCAACTTCTAATCTTCTAAGGCTGCTTTCTGTTTTATCCAAGCTACCTCCGCGAAGTGCTTGGTATCAGTGGTTGTTTCTAATTCTATGAGAATTCAAGATGTAGGACACCAAACGTCACGATTTTCAAACTTTACTCTCGACATATGTTTTTGTTTTCATTTCTGTGGACTTCTCTCAACTTGATCTGTTGGTACCCCCATCGCGACCATGCATTCCCGGCTCGTTATAGCCTTCGGTTCCTTTAAGAAGGCATCCTTATACCCCTTCTTGTTGGGCACCATGGCGCTACAGATCGTCGTCTGCGTGGTTCTCATCCCTGCCCTGTTTCTATATGGTGATCCGATGTGTGGAACCAGGCGAGGTTTGATGAGAGAAAGAGGTAGGAACGCCTTCCTTATAGGTGCATGTGCTGAGATGCCTGGTGGGTATCTCGGTAATATTCATTAGTTCCCATGGTTGTTGGTCACTTCGCCCCATTTCCACTTTGCCCCATGTCACTTCGCCCCTAACCTGCTGTAGTCTCTGAGTCAATTGTGTAGTTAGCACTCAATTGGAAGAAAAGAAGAACCACTTCTCCCCATTGCCACTTTGCCCCCTCGCCACTTCGCCCCATTGCAGTCGCCCCGTCGCCACTTTGCCCCATCCCCAATTCGCCAAAGTGACGTCGGGCAAAGTGACATGGGGCGAAGTGGAAACGGGGCGAAGTGACTGTAAAGCGTTCCCATGCGTACTTTTTATGTTGTGTTTTTTTGTGTGTTGCATTTTTATTAGTAAAATGTCATTACAATTAATGGGCATTAAATGTTATTACTTCCAAAATCATCACCATAAGCATCTTGAGAATCATCATCCTCTTAAAATCTTCATCATCAGTGTCTATTTTAGAACCACCATCACTTTTGCATCTTCAATACTTCGGAGTAGGACTATTGTTACCCGTGTTTCCAATTTCTGGGTCCACCTTGTCCTTAATTTTCCTGGTCAACCTAAAAACAATAATCCTATCCAACACTTCAAAAAACCTCTTGCGTACACCTTTCTTATTCCCTCCCACTTTGTCTCCAAAGTATTCACCACCACCACCTCTTTGGCACCCACCCAAGGGCGGATCCGGGAGGGGGCAATGGGGGCCATGCCCCCCCCCCCCAAAAAAGCCAAAACCAATGTTTTGTTTTTAAATGACGTCGCAATAAAGGCAAGCACTGCGTACACCACCATCTTTTCCTCAAATATAATTGGTTAAAGTGGTCAGAAATTGCCTCAGATCGCACCACAGAGCATCTAGAGTCCAACATTTTTTCGGGACCCTTAAGCGGGACCCGAACCCCTCGCCGTAATTGTTTTGACCCACTTATTGGGGGACCATTTTTTTGCCTCCCCCCCCCCCAAAAAAAATGTGTACTGGATCCGCCCTTGCCCCCACCCCACCCCGGCCCCACCCCACCCCCGCCACATGTCATTACGTCTTTTCCCTTCTCTTTGCCTTGCTGATCTCATACTTATTTTCTCATACTTTCGCATTTCTATTTTGTCTTCAGGTAGGAGCTATGCTGCGCTCCGCAATCCACCCGTTTCCCTGGTCAAGAACAAATCTAGAGATGTTGGGCCAAAGACGACCAAGAATCACATGTCTCACATTCCACGACCTTTCACCATCCTTACAACAACCAATCGTGGTTTTCTGGATTTCACTGTCAACTGGATTCTAAGCGTTCGACGATTGGGTCTGGACTACAACATCACCATCATTGCTGAGGACCCAGATGCCTATCGATACCTCACACGAAACCTGACATTCGACGATCGAAATCTCAGAATCGAACAAACCGAATACGGTTTCTCCCATCCCGCGCCGCAGAAGTTCCGCCACTCTGGGTATCGACGCCTCGTCAACAAGCGGCCCCAGTATTTGGTCGACAAACTGGAAGAAGGATTCGATACTCTGGTGGTCGATGTCGATTCCTTTTGGTTCCGAGACCCTCTCGATCTCATCGTACCGAATTACTCGAAATACGACGTGTGGCTCGCGCAGGGACACGACGGTAAAGATGGCCATAAGTTGCCCTGCCCCTGCTTAATGTACTTCAAATCGAACATCGTCTCTTTTAGTGTTGTTCGACACTGGATTAGTCGACTCCTGAAGGACAAAGGGATGGAAAGTGACCAACAGTCTTTGAATAATGTTCTCAAGACGAGGCGTGGACAGCGGGCGAGGATAGGCTGGCTTGACAAGGCAAATTTCCCAACAGGAGACGAGTACAAAGAGAGAAGAGAAACCAACGAAAGTACTGAAGATGTTTTCATCTACCACGCCAATCATATGGGGATTACACAATGAAGAAGCAGATAATGAAGACGTATGGACTGTGGAGGGTTTTTGGTTGATCAAGTTGAGTCGGAAAACTGAGTCGGTAACGCTCAGTGCGCAAGTCCCCCCTCAGCGGTTGCAAAGAGAAAGTTGGGGGAAACCACTGAGAGGGTCATTAACACATACCTTATGCGCCCGCGCCGTGGGTATCTCAGAGGATGTTTTTCATGATCTTTAATTTGGTAACAATGGAGGCACAAAGGGGGCCAGGGGAACCTCAAGATGTGATGACAATGGCTGATTATTGGGTCATGGTGGTAGTGTTGTTGAGATACATGTATTTATAAACAAAAAATATAAAGGGAAAATATAAAGGATGGAGAGTGGCAAAAAGAAGGGTGGTGATAGAATATGGTTTGATTGACAAGGAAGGTTAAGGACAAAGTTTGCAGAAACTGGAATGGAGGATACAGGTAAAAACAAGAGAAGGGCAATACTCCAAAGAACAGGCACATTCTATCAATTTACAATCGGACGGCACACGAAACATTTCTTGGTGAAGTGGGTCCACTTGTCTGTTTCTTAATCCTTTTCTCCCATCTTTTGCCCACTTCAATATTTATTTTAAGCTTCACGAATCATATATTTTGGAAGGCCGAGATGGGAAGTGTATCGAGACGCCAGTAGTAGTGTCATGGTCTAGCGGTTAAGAGCACCGGACTCATGCTCTGGTGTTTCAGAGGCAACAGTGGCATGGGTTCAAGCCCGGGCCCGGACACTTGTGCCCTTAAGCAAGGCACTTAACCATTATTGCTTCGTCCTTCGGATGGGATGTTAAGCCGTAGGTCCCGTGTGTTGTATAAGGCCTAACGCACGTAAAAGTACCCAGTAACACTTATCGCTAAGAGAAGGGGTTTGCCCCGGTGTTTCTGGCCTCCTAGTTATACTCCCTTGTGGAAGTCCTTAGGAGAAGAACCAACCAAGTACCAAGTAGTCACTCCCATTGATGGGGGTTGACTTTGGTCTAGTTTTTCAAAAGTTAGCGCTACTTCTTCACCCAATCTAGATGCTTTTAAATGTCATTCTAGTCAACCCAGAAATGTGTTATTTTTCATTCTACATTAGCGCACCCGCGATGTACATGTTCACTTGTTATCGTTCGGCAAGACCCTAATCCCTCATTCCAAGACACAGTTATTTCTTAAACACTCCATTCTCACGCAAGTTGCTTTGCTACTTAATTTAATGAAGTCTTTCAGTAAATGTGTAATTTCAAAAGTTGAAATAAAGTTAGAGATAACCTGAATCAGTGAAAGAATTACGGTAAGATACGAGTCTACATTGATTTATAGAAATCATTGCACAGTGTCTTAAGATTAATTTTGTAGAGTAAAATCCGATCTCTTCTGGGGCCTTAAGAGCAAAAAATAGATTAGCTTGACACCAAATGTTTTGTTGAAGTATAGCAAGTCCGTAATCGTCAAAGTAAGCGACTGTATCACAGCTGATTTTGTAATCGTATCTTAAACTTGCTAAAAATCACAAATCAACAGGTTCATTACAAAAAGGTCTACCTGCTGGTAACTATTCGGGCCGAAGTTTGTTATAACGCTGAAACTTTACCAACAGATATGCGTACTTTATGACGGTCAACTTAAACCAAAATTAATTGTAATACTTGCAGCTAGGGCTCTGCCATTTTCCTCCTCTTGTGCATTGGACAAAATGCTTATGAATAACCTTATGTAAAACCGCAGTTGCAGGGGGTCGTCAAACTAGCTTTTGCTATATATACGTGATTATAGTTTCTTAAATATTATTGGTTCGAACAGTCTTCAAACTTAAGTGATTCCACAGAGTAATTACAACTTGTCTTATTTTGAAAGATATACAAGAACAATAAAACAAGAATAAAGTAATTAAAAAGCCGTTTGTCTTCGTGGAGAAATTGCAGTTTTGTTTTTAACGCTTTTTCCAAAAGTCTTCGTAGCAGTTTCACGCTTGCTTTTTTTTGGACTGGAGTCTCTAGATCCACCTTCAAGAAGATGGCTGACAAAATGGTTCTCCTGATATAATTATGAGCAACAACCCGAAAGAAGAAGCAGTTTCATGTTATTTGAGGAATATTGTTTAAAAAAAAAGACACAAAATGGAGGTGCCTGGTCGAACCAGAAAGCAACGCCCCTCCTTCTTATTCTGCCATTATACGTTTACGTCATGCGTTACTCAGAAACTTGTCCGGTTTTGGGGGGTTTTTTTGGCCGTTGGTTTTCTTTTAAAATCCACCATCTTGGTCAGTATTGTTTGAAGATTGTTTGAATCAAATATTGATTGAGTATCAGAAACAATGTGTGATATACACGTAAGACAACCGGCTTCAAAAAAAAATAATCCCCAAAATACCACAATTAAAAATCAAATGGAAAAAATAAGCAAAATTACTTATAAGACGAAAGAATACATCATGTCAAGATAACGACTTCGCTACTAATTCTACGTTAACTAAGCCGGGCACCATGCCCGTCCAGGCCGTGTATCTTGCCGTGTTCTCTAGCAATATTCCACGATTTCCTCCCAGTAGCATCCCTCGTGGCAACATTACTCAAGGATGTTGTTGGCCTTTACGCCTTGCTAGCGGGACGTGGCCTGAAGGAAGTGGCATCATCCTCAGCCTGGAACTCATCTGTAAAAAATATTTTGTTTCAATCGTAGATTTTTATGAACAATAATTAAACTTGTGTACACGTACTTTGTGACTGGACTCGTATTACCGAACTTTGTGATTTACAAAGTTACTCATGATGTACATTTTGTACATGTACATGTACTCTGACTCGTATAAACGGACTCGACTAGGCCTTTCGAAAGAAGGATCTAGACATGGTATGTATCTTTTCTTATAGGCCTATATCATTAACAACATACCTGATTGGTTTCCATCTCGTTTGTGGTGGTAGTGGTAGTGGATGTGGTGGTGGTGATGGTGGTGATGGTGATGGTGGTGGTGCCACCATCCCGTGGAGACGCCGTTCTTCCTTTAAACGAAACACATTCGGAGGTCTCAGTTAATAGCACGGTTATGGACATGTGGGACGCTAGTGATCGATAGTGGACGGTGCAAAGTGCGCCCTCTAATGGCACAACAATTAGACCAGTGGGCCTACTGGCACTTACGTCTTGGTCATTTCGTTTCAGCGGTTTGCTCTTTCTTTGTTTTCTCCCTAGGCTTCCATAGGGAACCAATCAGCGATCGAGAAAAGGTTCAATGGCTTGCCCGACGATTGTAAACATACGCCCTGCATGGCCTACTGTGGTGATTATAAAGCATCATCGCTTTCCTAGGGAACCAATCAGTGATCAAGAAATGTTTCCATGGCTCACCCGACGGTAAACATGCGCTATACGTGCAGTGATCAATCATCGAGCGACTATAAAAAAAGAACTGCGTTTGTCCGAATGTATACAGACGGTCTTAGTTTCATAAAATGGCCCCGCCCCCATTGCTACAAATGACCAAGACCTTAGTGAGAGAACGTAAAAAAACCCAATAATGCAAGGGCGCTACACAACAATGCAACTCGCTCTTGATCACTGGCGTCTTGGGCCAAGACTAGCAGGAGCCCAGTTTAACAACTTGTTTTTCAGTTAAAAAAAACTAATGGATTGAAAACTTATTCGGATTATAAATCGCATATTTCTCTCCGTTTACCAAAGTAAGCAAAATGTGAACTACTTAAAAGGACATTGCGTCATAGAATGCGCCCAATTGGGCTACCCCCCAAAAAAGAAGTTTTAAACGAAATGATGTTTATTGACGGAAAGAGCATTGAACAATAGACCATTGTCCTGTTGCGGCCATCGTGATTTTTCCTCATTTAAATCAATGTAACCAAAGTGAGGCTGGAAGAAAACAATAGTCTGGTTCTTTTTTGCACAAAAACACATTATCATTCAGTACTGTTATTAGATACAGGGAACATGACTAAAATGGTTGCAGCATGATAAAGGTCTATAGGATATAAACGTCCACACAACCATTCTTTAAAGACTGGGCGCTTTTGTTTTATTCTTGATGCGAGAGAGAACCATATGCGAGAATGAACTTCAGGAGTCCAAAATTTGACTCTCAAAAAACGGCGCTAGTCTTGATTTTCTGATGCACATGTACCACCGGTGCATTGCAAGTTCTGCGTACGTGCGAAAAACAACATTTTTGTATTAGTGTTGTGTGTATTATGTGTCACACACTTAACGTGTGCCGTACATTGAATGGACACGGCTGGAATTACGTATGCCTATGTCACAAAATGTCCGCCGCGTCAAAAACCAAAACGGGATTGTTCGTCTCAGTAACAGAGCGACATTATGTTATGAAACTATGTGCTGAGCACAATCGTAGTAAGCAGAAAAAGACGGGCTCGGCAAAATCAGTAAGTAAATCTGCTAAGCATTATTTTCCACTCAGCAGATCATAAAGGTTATGATTAAAACAAAAATGATAATGATGACATTAGCTTACACGTTCTCCATCTCTGCATCTAGCGCATTACTTTCAATCGCTTGCATTAAGGCTTCCAATGCCTTGGTGTCTTCCAATGTCTTGGTGTCTTCCAATGTCTTGGTGTCATCTAAAAGTCAGAAAGCAAACACCGAGGAAAAAATGGTCACAAATATAAAAGGATGTTACACTATATAGACCATGCCATGTGATCTGTGACGTCATACTAAACGGTCAACCCAAACATTTAATCATCTTTTGCATGTTATTTTGCTCATATTAACCCTTTACATACCAAGGCCATTCTCAACATTTTCACTTCGTTACCACCGGACGTTTGACAAACTTTATCGTATAGCGCCCTCACATACACGGACTACATCATGTCAGTATGATAAGGGCCTTTGAAACGAATGAAATGACAGATATATGCAAGCATTCTCTCCTCTAAATTGTAGGCAAATGAGGAAATACTTTGCATTTTTTGTTTCGACAGTTTTATTTTGTTTTGACACTTTTCTGGGTTTTTTTCTGCATGAAGTGGAGTCACACAACTGCAGTGATTTCATCACAATTATTCTTTTCACACAAAATACACACAGATATTTAACTAAAAATGGTGCCAAAATAAGTCGTAGCGCTAAACACAGAAGATAACATTCATTTGCAGAAGGGAGAGCAAGTAACAAGACAACAGACAAAACAACAGTTATTCACAAAAAACATAGGCTATATATACAATTATACACACTCAAATAAACTAATCAATAGAACAAGACTTCGAGAGCGTTTACCGAAGAACAGTGGGACACTAGGTAATTATTACTTTCTATTTACATTCACTTTTAATCTTCATTATGATAGAGGACATCACAATTCCCCGATTACCCATTTTTATGTGTATTTCCTTAATTTGACGAAATTTAAATGCATCTGTCTACTTATGTAAGTAAATGAAAATATTATCAGGTACCGATACCAACAAGTTATTCCAAAATTCAAAAGAACCGATGATGATGGTGATTGGTCCATGTTGTGCTCAATCTATCACGCGCTCCTTTGTTATACAACCAATCAGAAAGCGGTGACTGAAGAGAGGGCGCTGTTAAGATTTTATTACATACATTCTATTCAGTCAGTCGGTCAGTTACTTAGTTAGTCAGTCGGGGAGTCAGTCAGTCACGTATAGGCTGGCCCTTTGGGACGGTCAGCAAAAATACTTGAAACGTAAGAACTCAGAATCAGAAAATGATATGACCAACCTGATGCCAGAGCAACTGCAGCACAGGCTCCAAGCACAAGAACAATGAGGAGATTCATGATGATGATGATGATGTAGCGGAACCTTTACTTCGAATCAACTGTAGCAAGTGACCGTCGAAGTGATGTAGCCGTATGGTTGCGAACTAGAGCTAACCATCGGCCTTTTATAGACTTCAGCTGCAAAGGGAAACTTTGCGACCAAAAAAACGCTTGATTTGCTGAGACATGTTTGTGGAGGTGATGGGCACTACCTGCAATTGTACCTCAGGGCGGAAAAAGGAGTTACCTGATGTTTGTCAAAATGTTTACTTTTGTTGAAATTACAATTTGTTTCAGAGATGAAACATAACAATGGTAATTATATTTCCGGTGTTTACCAAATTCATGTCTCGCTTGTTTATTCTAACGTGGAGCAAATAACCCGAAATTGGACAGAAATGTTTAAACAGCTCGATGCATCAAACTCACAAAGTGAATGATTACCTTAATAATCAGACTTCTTTTTCCAAACACTAAATTATATTTTCATATGTGGACACAAACTACACCAGGAAATGTTTAGTAGTGCCGTCCGATTGTAATTGGATAGAATGTGCTGGTATTTTGGAGTAACCCTGTCCAAACTACATCCTACCCTTCCTTGCCTCTTCCTTTCGCTTTTTAAAATTTCATCACCACTGCACCCCCAATGTCAACACATCTGTAGGTTCACTTAAGGCCGTGGGCCAAAATCTGTATCAGGTCTAGAAGTTGAGGTTCGTCTTAAGTCTTTGGTATCAGCTTGCAATAAGGTCAACTTTACTAATTCGATATAGTGCTGAATATTTTGGTCTGGTAAATCAGACTAATGTCTTGGTTGTTGTTATGCTGTTTCTCTTCGATTACAAGCAATTATCAGCGCCTGTCAGTCAGTCACCGGGGCGTTCTCGACACAAATTATACCAGCACAATAATACAAAGGACCACTTCAACAAATCGAAACTGATGTCTGAATGGACGGTGGGGGAAAACCTCATTGGGCACTTCTGGGAAGATCGCGTGATCAATTAAAGTTCAAGCCCGTATAATTTGACATCACTGAGGAAGTTCCTTGGACAATAGACTTCAGGGCAAGTCACTAGACAGTCATTGTTTGTCCCTCGTTGCCCCGATATTTACTAGCACAGCGCTGTTTATCGTATTTATTATCGTTTGTAGGCTTCGACATGTCTAGGTAATTTGTATCTAACCGTATTTGCACTAACCGTCCCCGCATGTTAGTGCACGACCGAACGCTATACATGTATACCTGGGACTGTATGCTGTTTGCGGTAGGCGTTGCGTGGCGGGCGAACTTAACCCGCACCAAGTCTAATTGGACAAGAATGAAAGTACGGCCGTGTCCGAAACGGGCTTCCAGAGCTACGGCTACGTCTATTGTCAGCGCGTCCCCGCGTATTTTCAATGGGCGCAGACCTAGACTTAGCTCTAGACAACTGATTCGGATGCAGCCTACCTCAGTGGAACCATGGTACAGAACAATTTGCTTTGCTTTTCTGTGTAGTTTGTTCAGTGCATGGCTGCTCCACTATTTCTCAGTGCAACGACACTTGGAGTAATGAATAACGGATTTTAATTTAGTTCACGTTTTAGAATATGGAGCCTATTTCGTGTTCAAGTGTTTATGCGCCCATTAAATTCCAAATTGTGACTTCAATTTCGTTCCATTTCCCGTTTTGTAAAATAATCAAAACAGGAGGAGTTGTAATTCCGCTTGGAGAAAAAATGCGGGTGTTTGTCTCCTCAACAACTGTTCAAACAGTTGGCAAATTGAGTCTTACTAATGATTGACGTCGCGTGATGTACAGTCCTTCACATCGTCCAGACCTATGTTCTTGAAATTCCATCGAGTCTGGAGTGCTGAATGGTAACACAATTAGCAACCGATGAAAACTGACGTCACTTAACCCCGATCTATTGACTAGTTTTGTTTGTTGTATAGTGAGTTTCATGGCTTGATATCAATGAATAAAATAATAAAACTATATATTTGGCAAGTTATAATTGACTGCCAATATATCTGCACCGAACGGAACGTTTTGGCTATAGTGGCAGCCGTGACGCACTAGTTTTACACAAGAGACACAAGACTGAAAAAAAAAAATTGCCTCGGTTAATTTTACCCAAGCAAGGGTGAAAACTGCAACTACCCAAAATTGGGTTGAGCTATAGTCATTGTTTGGGTTGGAATTTCTGTTAAATTCAACCAAAACTTGCGGTCATACATGACCAAATTAAATTAGTCATTGTAATATGATGAGAGGCAACACCCTCTCATCTTCTGGGATTCTGCTGGTTGCTATACGACATATGTCGTGTAAAACTGAATATTCATTTTCAATAGCTTTTCAAATAAAACAGAGCTTGATTGCCTTAACTTTACATTCATTTATTATTTCTTTATTTGTTAATTTGCTTTTGTTAATGGGGTTCCAGAAATGCAGGGTCGGCAGTAATAATTGTATTTCTTGGGTCGTCGGGAGCTTAAAACAGGGTCGATCGGAAATGAGAACCAAGGAAAAGGGATGCCCTTCGGGAGACACTCATGGTCATGAGGGAGACATTTTAGTGTCTCCCTAATGTTTTCACATTTTCTAGAACGAATTTGTATTATCTCAAAATACTTGCGAGAATAGTGTAGTTAAAACGTTTGGGGAGGGGGGGTATTTTGAAGTGGGGTATGGGAGGGTTTTTGTTGGTTTTTGTTTAAGCACAAGTCTATGGGAATGTCTCCTATTACAATTTTTTTTGTCAATTTATTATTATTATTATCATCACTCTTATTCAGTGATTTGCATCAAATCAAATTACCACTTTGAAAAAAAACACCACCGACCCGCACACTTATAATTAATAGGTTTGTTTTTCGTGTTTTTCTTTGTTCATTTTGATTTGATTTGTTTTTCTGGCACCGTTGTTTTTTTTAATTAAAGCGCACGCTTCCTGACAATAATAATTTCTGGATGTACCAAAATGGGAAGTTGTGCAGCAAAACCTGTTACGTAAATTCTATTTACACATGGCGTAGGCTACGTTGAGTGAAACTCACTGCAGGTCCTTTTTCTCAAAGTTTTGAACAGCGCCCCCATCGACAGATGGAACCAGCCCCCCCCCCCCCCCCCCCCCCCCCCCCCCCCCCCCCCCCCCCTATTGATTTTACGTAGGCCAAGTTTCCGGGAAAAAAAGTGTCTACAATTCAGCACGGATGTGCAAGTCAAAAAATAATACCCCTCAAATAAAAATGACCGTGCTACGCGCCGCGCGCGCCATGCACTGGAATACCCATTAAATACAATGAAACATGGACGTTTTCCTACATTGATGAAATTAGGGAGAACTTGCAAAAGAAAACATACCAACATTGCCATTATTATTTCAAAAAAAAATGAATAGATGACTTGTTCCTCATGGTCAAAACTCAATCTGACAAAAGAAATAATGTTTCAGCTTGACTCTTAGGCCTAATGATTAAAATTTCATCTGTATTTGAATGCCGTTGTGTAATCTGTAATTCTAGACAGCTATAAAATGGGTTCTTTCATTAATACGTGCATAACTTTTGATCGCATGGATCAATTTCAGTAATTCCTTCTTTTGAGATGATTGGAAAAGCATGCTCTTTTTAAGATATACTTCATTGGAGTTTCAAATTTGATTGCTTGTTAAGAAAAAAAATCATTAATTGGTTCACTTTCTTTTTGGACTCACCCTGTATGATGCAATCACTCACGAACCGTATAGTGTAACACCCTATTTATTTGTGACCATTTATTTGTGGATGTTTGCATTCTGACATATCTATTCAGATGTCCCCAAGCCATTGGCAGAATCAGAGATTGACAGCAATGAGGACGGAGAGATGGAGACCAAGAGCGGATTCTCTGTGTAAGCAAATTTCCATTTCCTATAAAAAAAAATCAAAACCTTTATGATCTGCTGAGCGGGAAAAAAATGCTTAGCAGATTTACTTACTAAGCAGAAAATAGATGAGAACCAGTCACAAGCAGTATAAATCCCATGCCATTTTGGTTGGTTACCTGATAATGCCATAAGCACGTATTTTCTCTGCTTACCACAATTTCATGCTCAGTAGCTCCATGACATTTGCTCCTGGAAAAAAATCCTGGCGCTGCTAATCACGATAGTTTCCGCTATCACTTACCCATTAAGCATGAATCAAATAGCTCGCTAGCTAACTTAAGAATTTAAGAGAAATATACGAATTATTTTTATCACAGTTAATTTTCAATTGGTATGTTTTATTATAAAGAACAATTAGCAAACCCGCGAAAGAGGAATATCTTCTGGGTTGCCTTAGTCCACACAATTTCCGTCTGGCGGAAACGGACTTTTTTTTTGTCCTAAGCCGAAAATAGCAATTTTAAGAATGGTTTGTAAATTATTATTCCATAACAGAACACGGGCCGATTTTACGGGGTTCGAATCTCTCGTTCAAAAAGTGAAATACTTTTGTATTGCTAGAAAAAATAGAGTCATTGAAAAAAGAAGTTACGTTTGAGTCACGTCAAGGTTGGCAGACTTTTCGATCTACAGTATCACTAGCAGAACACTCAGTGGCGCACCCAGGATTTGGTTGGGGGGGGGGGGGCTCAATTTTTTTTTTTTTTTTTACAAATTTGTTAAAAGTTGATTTTGTTCAAACAATTTTGCCCACAATTTTTGGCCGCAGAAAAATATATTTTTTTTTTTTTTTTATGAGGGGCGGCCTATTTTGACGTTTGTGGCGCCACTATTATACTACTCGAAAACAGGCCACATTCATATCACCAAGGCCAAATCGTGGGACTAAAAAAAAGAGAAATAGACAACCTCTTGGGGGGGATCAAGCCCCCGAGGCCCCCCCCCCCCCCCCCCGGTGCGCCACTGAGAACACTGCCTTCATTTAATGAACAAACGCAGATATTGTTCTTGTACGTCATATTGCGGATGTATCCATTTTCACGCCGGGCGATTTAGGAACACCACTGAACTTAACTTAATCGCTGAATTTCGCCAAGCTGCGTAGTATAACTCTCGAGGAAATGTGGCTTGGGTGGTGGTCAAGACTTGTTGATTGTCGCACCCCCCCCCCCCCCAAATCTTTCAGGGAATAAAGATTATAAAAGGCCTTCTGGCTGACAAAACAAATAGCAAAATGGGCTCCGTGTGCGGCGCCAACAACAGAGGGCGCGTTTTTACCTCTTTTGAGAGCTCCGTGGACGGGACACACAGCGTGGATGGATCGGAAACCAGCAAGGTCACCCTCCCCCAACTCTCCTTTTTTGGCCGTTGATGGGGTACTTGTGCAAGGAGCCCATAGGCCTAGATTAGTCCCACATATGTCCATAACTGCTATTAAACTGAGACCTCCGAATGTTTTTTTTGTTTTATAAAGGGCCTGGACTGGCCCACAAATGTGGGTATGCAGTTCAAGTACACTTGCCTCCAGGAAGCACTAATTCTGTCACCCCCTGGAACACACCACCACCACAAACGAGAGGATGAAAACAATTCAGGTAAAAAAAGCACATAACATGTCTAGATCCCTCTTTCGAAAGCAGTGTTGTATAGTCGAATTCATTACGAGTCAGAGTACATGAGTAAATCACAAGTTCAGTCACGAGTCTAGTCACAACATGGAGGAAGGAATAGGCAATATATTCCTTCCTCCACGATCACAACTACGCAAATCATGTAGCTCAATTATTATTGTTCCTAATAATCTACGGCTGAAACAAAGGTTGTCATTTCTTTTTATTTTACAGATGAGGTTTTGACCGAGGATGATGCCAATACCTTCCTGGCAAGTCCTAGCAAGCGTAAGGCCAACATCATCCATGAGGAATGTTGCCACGAGGGATGCTACTGGGAGGAAATCGTGGAGTACTGCTAGAGAACACGGCAAGATACACGGCCTGAACGAACATGGTGCCCGGCTAAGTTAACGTGGAATTAGTAGCAAAGTCGTTCCTTTTATCTTGATATAATATATTTTTTTCGTCTTTTTGCAATTTTGCTTATTGTTTTCTCCTGAGGTTAAAAAGTGGTGTTTTTGTTTGTTATTTCTTTAAAGCTGGTTGTCTAACGCGTATATTACTCATTGTATTAACTGATACTCAATCAATATTTGATTTAAACAATATTAAAACAATACTGACCAAGATGGTGGATTTTGAAAGAAAAAAAACAACGGCAAAAAACCCGAGAAAGTTTCTGAGTAACGCATGATGTAAACGTAATGGCAGAATAAGAAGGAGGGACGTTACTTTCTGGTTCGAGTACGCACCTCCATTTTGTAACTGCCTTTTTTTCCAAATAATATTCCCCAAATAATATGAAACTACCATGAAGACTTTTGGGAAAAAGCGTGAAAGAAAACTGCAATTTCTCCACAAACACAGAGGGCTTTTAAACCTTTATTCTTGTTTTGTTGTTCTGGTATATCTTTCAAAATAAGAAAGTCATAATTACTTTGTGAAATCAACTTAAGTTTGAAGACTGTTCGAACCAATTTTAGAAACTATAGTCACGAATATAGCAAAAGCTAGTTTGACGACCCGCTGCAACTGCGGTTTTACATGAAGTCATTCGTAAGCATTTTGTCCAATACACGAGAGGAAAAAAGTGGCAGAGCCCTAGCTGCAAATATTTCAATTAATTTTGGTTTAAGTAGACCTTCGTCATAAAGTACGCATATCGGTTGGTAAAGTTTCGGCGTAACAAACTTCGGCCCGGATAGTTACCTGAAAGAAGACCTATTATGCAATGAACGTGTCGATAAGTGATTTTAGCAAGTTTAACATACGATTACAAAATCAGCTGTGGTAATAACTTATACGATCACGGACTTTAATCATGTTTGCTTCAAATAGGCCCCAGAATAGATCGGGTTTTACTCTACAAAGTTGATCTTTAAAAGTAAAATCTTAAGACACTGTGCAACGATTTCTCTTTACAGACAGATACATCAATGTAGACTCGTATCTTACTTCCATATTCTTTCATTGGTTCAGGTTATCTCTAACTTTTTTTCCCAATTTTTCATACTACACATTTACTGAAGGACTCCATTAAATTAAGTAGCAAAGCAATCTGTGTGAGAGTGGAGTGTTTCAGAAATAACTGTGTCTTGGAATTAGGGATTAGGGTCTTGCCGAACGATGACAAGTGAACATGTACAGCAGGTGCGCTAATATAGAATGAGAACTAACACATTTCTGTGTTGACTCAAATGAAATTTAACAGCCTCTAGACTGGGTGAAGAAGAGTAGCACTAACTTGTGGAAAAAATAGACCAAAGCAGGCGCGGATCCAGGGGGGGGGGGGGGGGGGGGGGGGGGTTGTGGTCAAACCCCCCCAGCTCTGTCCAAAAAAAAATTCTCAAACAAATTCCTAAAAAATAAGGAGAACCCCCCCCCCCCCCCCCCCCCCCCGCTGTGACACCCCCCAAAAAATATACTGGTCTAAGGTCCGCCTGTTCAAAATACGGTACACCATTCTCTAATCTAGTGTTAATATTCGTCGAATTTGAACAGCGCCCCCTATAGAAATATGGTACCAGCGGCCCCCCCCCCCCCCCCCCCCAGATTTTCATTTTTCGGAGGCCAAGTGTCCGGAGAAAAAAACGTGTGTACATTTTTAGATTTTTTTGGCTGATGAACCCCCCCCCCCCCCCCCTGCGAAAATCCCTGGATCCGCCCCTGCAAAGTCATGCCCCCCTCCAATCAGTGTCATTACCGTCTTTGGGGAGAGAATACTACTGCCGTCCCAATTCGCTTCCCATCTCAGCCTTCCAAAATATCAAATTGGTGAAGTTGACAAAAATTTGAGGTCGGATAAAGATTTAAGAGACAGACAAGAAAGTGAAGGAGGGTTATGTTACTGAAGTGGGACATTAGCAGATGCGCCAATGTAGGATGAAAAATGAACAAACACCTTTCTTCATGGGTTCGCTAAAATGAAATTTTGACAGCCTCTCGATTGGCTGACGAAGTACCACTAACTTGTGAAAAACTAGACCAAATCCCCCCTCATAATCTGTGTCATTACCGTCTTTACGGAGTGATTATTACTGCCGTCTCAATACGCTTCCCATCTCGGCCGGCCTTCCAAAATATCTAATTCGTGAAGTTTGAAACAAATATTGATAGGTGATGAGGATTCTAGAAACGGACAAGGACTGTGATCACGTGCCCGGATGTGAATATTGGCTTACGCCGCAAAATGATAAAAAAAGCAAACCATATCCCTGAACACTGCCCTCTAGAGGTGATAAAATGTGCAATCTCTGTTCTCGGATGTCAAGCTTCCCATTAGTTTGTGCTATACATTCCTGTTTATAAGACATTATATAAAGGAAATATGCGGGCTTGCGAAAATTAAGAGTCTGTTTCAGAAGCCCGGCTGGAAAATTATAAGGGCGAATTTATTTTTGAAGAAAATCGTTTGTACTGTACCTTATAAAGTCTCGACCATGAAAAAAAAAATAATGGGATTAAAAAAAACCCAAAAAGTTATGTGGTGTTGACCAAGCATTCAGGGGTCGCGATTGGTTACCGACTCCCATATAGGGCTCTTCCTGGGTCTCGGATTCCCCGGCCCACCACACCTCCTTCCCTGTCCATCCATGTAACCCCGGAGGGCCAAGCACCGTTAAGGGAGGAAACGAGGCGACACCCTATGCCTTGCTGCCGAGACAGCAAAAGAGCCCCGTACCTATGAGTAGATGCATAACCTGGACTTCACAGACAGTCCCAGCCGGCTACTTAACTGATTGAGCTAAGGTCGGTTGGTGATTGACGACGGGGAATTAAGACTCTTAAAGTAAATGACTGAGCGCGTGTATTGAAAACCAAAAAATGCACCGCGGTCCGTTTCGAACCCCGGACCCCGCGGTCTGTGGACGATGACCCTAACCACTAGGCTAATTGTAATCACAGTTTTCGAATCACCGAATCTTAATAATATGTAGTCGGAAACACTTGGCGGATTGTCAGCTCAATTTGCGCTTTGTGTTCTAAACTTCTAAACTCCCTTAATAAACAAACGATTTAAATGACTTGTAAACGAACCTGTTTCATTCAGGCATGCAATTGCTCAAATGTTTGTATTCGTATATGTGGTACATTCGCCGTATTTTTTCCCCTCAATGTATCGGTCTATATCCAATACCTTATACTCTTCAATCCTTTTTTTTTTAAAGGAATTTAGATATGCATCACTCTACTCGGTAAATCTTCATTTTCCATCCGCCATTAACTACTTCTTTTGCTTCACAATCTATTAACTACGAGGGAACCAAGTTATAGTACTCTCCACTGATTCCTGAAGAAGTTCTGCAAGTTTACAAAATATATTTTGCTGAATGTTAACTTTGTTGATATATGAAATAATGAAACTATACTTATTTATTCCTTACATTCCTATGTTTGCTTATAAAATGATTGATACCTGTACCCTTGTTTATCTCCGCATGTAAATCTTTTTCTCTGAACACAGCATTTTGCTTGATTGCTACTTGATGTCTGAACATTAGGCCTATGGTGTTATAGGGCCCATGTCTATAGACAAGCTGTGTTTTCTTACAATTCCTCTACTGTTTTCACTCTTTTGTTGGACATGTACATGTGCACGTATACATTATGCATTATAACGCACTGACTTGTGAACACTGGAAATAAATGAACCGAACTGACTTCTATAACGAAACGTTTGAACAGGTAAGTCCATGTTGCAGTATCCACTGACTACTCGATGTCCTTTCCTCTTTCCTTTCACTTTGACCTTGTGTCTGCTTTTGATTTATTTTGTTGTAGAATTTTAAGCTAATATTTGTGAGACAAGTTCGATTTTCACTATCGTTTTTTTTTCAGTCACGATTTGGAAAATTATCTTGCTGAAGACATTTCGAAAGCGGCGGGCCCGGCTCGGCGAGTGCCCGTATTATATAACATAGTCGAGGGACGCGACGGTAGCTGATATGAGCATGTATGCAGCATGTTATGTTGTCACGATGTGTCGTCTATTCCTAGTATGTTTGTTTCATTGGTGGGAAGAGTTGCTTTCAAGATACGGTCTTTGTTTAACGACGAGTGTAGCACACTGTTCATATCCTACTAGTCCTCCGTTACGTAACTTTTTTGTTCAATGTGAATGGGAAGCCTTCGCCTGTTCAACTTCTCCGCTTTTGTTCCAATATCGTGCAGAGCGAATGGGGCATATACCAGCTTTTATTAACCGTGCTTGGGCGGTGTAGGTCGGTTGCATGGAAAGAAAGTACATGTATACGGTGTCAAAACTCAGTGTCTGCATGTCGCCCAAAAGACCTATAAGATATAATGACGTCACGCTTTGTTTACATGTGCTTTGCTATGAGAGCCAACGTTGAATCGGATCTAGAATTCACACAAAATTAAAGCAATTACAATGTGTTATTGACGCTCCCTATCAATGCTATAATTTTAGAGTGTCTTAAAAACTCATATTGCAAGTCAGATGGGAGCAGCTAAAAAAGCTTCATTTACGACACATCTTTGGACGTGTTTGGACATCTGAGGCTATTTCTGACCACTTTAACCAAATCTTTTGGAGGAAAAGATGGTGGTGTACGCATGCAGTGCCTGCCTTTATTGCGACGCCATGGCCCCCGTTGGCCCCCTGGATCCACCCTTGCCAACCTATATCATGTCTTTATGCAAAAGTAAAGAACGAACATATACTGCGAGAAAACTTAGCGATTTCATTGTTATTGGGGAGGGGATTGATTAAAGGGAAAATACAACATTTGCAAACATCAAAAATAAAACTACCAAATCATTTTGAAATACCTTGCTGGACTGTTAGTGAATGACAGTGTAAAGCATCCTGTAAAATCATGACACCTGGTATACTGTCATTTTCAAGAAAAGTGGTATTTTTGTACCAATTTCCAACGCTGATCGGCCGATCAGCGTTGGAAAAAAACTGGCTTTTTTTCAAATACTGGCCCCAGTTGACCATCGCACTTGTTTGCAATCGATTACACACCTATGAACGGGTATAAGCCAGCTAGACTGGTTCCCTGACCTTACAATTCCCCAATATATGTAAACTGCTCTGTTTCTTCTTAAATGGAGTCAGGGAACCAGACCACAGGAAAATGATTGTTTTTCTTGGTTTTTATAGCATTTTCGAACCCCAAAACTCAAAAAAGTCAGTGTAACTATATTTGCTATATATTTCCAACCCCCCAATTCCATCCATTTCTGAAAATTACAGCAAAAGCAAATGATGTATATTCCCTTTAATGCCGAAAATATCACATGTTCAGTTGTTAAAGACGCGTCCCCTCGCTGCGTTTCACCTCGATAATTGACTGTCCAATTGCTATTTTCCTAGAATCCAACGAATTATTGGCTGTCAGATATTAATTCAGCTCACGCAAGGTGGTTCCTTTGTGTGTAAAATGAAAACTCCTTTTTAGAGGGTAGCAGACGCCCAAAATTGGAATAAAAGTAAATTTTCGCTTTAAACAAAAGACGTACATCGAAAACTAATCAGTCTAGAAGAAAAAGTATGTAAACAACACGGGGTGTCATCTTTAATGTTGCTTCCCCCACAAACCGTGCACACCCGCGGGGGTTGCCTGCGGAATACGAAAAGGTCTTCAAAGTGTCTGTCAGAAGAAATTTCGAAAGCTGCACCGGCGGGTGGCGGGGCCGGTTCAACCGTACCGCGCATCGTCCCCGATCCCTGGTTTGTTATAAAACTGCACGGAGAGGTTTCGGTCTCGCGCGAGCGACTCGAAGCGTTGTTTCCGATCGATCAAACCTCAAATGCATTCATAATGGTTCGCCGTGGAAAAGTTACTTTCTTTGACTTTTAAGTGCAACGCACTATTTATAATTTGCTCTCCCGCCGTTACGTAACTTTTTTGTGAAAACGAAGTCGTCAGTTCAACTTCTCCGCTTTTGTTCCAACATCGCGATACAAAGAGCGAATAGGACACACACCGCTTTACCCGATCAACCTGTATTGGGACGGTATTTTGGTCTGTTGCATTGGAAGCGAGATACGGAATTGAAACTAGAACAGAAACGCCCCAGCAAGTACCGGGTACATTTTTTCAAAGACCCTTCTAAATTATCGAACGACCTACTGTTCAAAAACTGGGCAGGGATGTGATAGGTTCATATCTTTCGCAAGAGCTTACCATTACTGACATTTTTTATACCAAAACATGGAAATGATGATCTATGGAGCATGTTATGTCCCTGTTATGTTGCCCTGTAGTGCCATCAAGTATATATTTTGTCCAAGTTCGTTTTTATGAGATACATTTTCTCGAAGTTCGTTTTTTATGAGATACATTTTCTCGAAGTTCGTTTTTATGAGATACATTTTGACGAAGTTCGTTTTATGAGATACATTTTCTCGAAGTTCGTTTTTATGAGATACATTTTCTCTCAGTATCTCATAAAAACGAACTTCGTCAAAATGTATCTCATAAAAACGAACTTCGACAAAATGTATCTCATAAAAACGAACTTCGACAAAATGTATCTCATAAAAACGAACTTCGACAAAATGTATCTCGTAAAAACGAACTTCGTCAAAATGTATCTCATAAAAACGAACTTCGACAAAATGTATCTCATAAAAACGAACTTCGTCAAAATGTATCTCATAAAAACGAACTTTGACAAAATGTATCTCATAAAAACGAACTTCGAGAAAATGTATCTCATAAAAACGAACTTCAACAAAATGTATCTCATAAAAACGAACTTCGTCAAAATGTATCTCATAAAACCGAACTTGGACAAAATATATACTTGATGGCACTACAGGGCTTTCGTACTGAACAATGCACGTCGGTTGTGTCAACAGAATATCCTCGTCGAAATTTTCCATGGACATGGTTGTAGTCACGGTTGGTATACTAGCGTTTGCAACAACAGATGAAGTCGAAATTCGAAATATTCTTAGATGATATAAGTGTTGAACTACTCGTGAAAAAACAACTTGGAGAGATTCCTAGAAATTGAGGTTAATACATGCATTTTGGGATGTTTTCGAACGATTTCTTCCAGACTTGAAGGTCAGCTTTATACCAGTAACTAGTATTGACGTTTCGGCATCGACGACCGAGATTTTTTTCACTGACATGAAGTTTTGAATGTCGTCTTTCGTTATAATTTAACATTTCAATCATACTGAGCATATTTCCTGAGAAACACACAGTTAAAAAGACCATGTTTTTGGGGTGCATGGATTTCAGTGCTCTATTATAGCGTCTAAGTACGTAATCGGATTAGCTTTGCCTAACAACGCCAGAAACTTTGCCCTGGCAACCACTTGACTGGTCTATTCTTAGTATAGTTTGTTTCAAGACCGAGGGAGAGGTTTCTGTCTCACGCGAGCGACTCTTGAGCTTTGTTTGGATCAAATCTTTGGTTTCACTGTGAAAGAGTTGCTTTCAAGACGAGGGTATTTTTCCATGACTGGTGTAGCGCACTGTTCGTATTAGCCCTCCGTTACGTAACACAAAAGTTGCGTAACTTCTTTTGTCCAAAACGTATACGTTATTGCAATGTGAATCGGAAGCCTTCGCCTGTTCAACTTCTCCGCTTTTGTTCCAATATCGTGATACAAGAGCGAATGGGGCATATACCGGCTTGTATTAACCTGTGCTTGGACGGTGTAGGCCTGTTGCATGGAAAGAAAGATACATGTACATGTATACGGTATTGAAACTCAGTGTCTGCATTTCGCCCAAAAGTCTTATAAGACATAATGACGTCACGCTTTGTTTATATGTGCGCTTTGCTATGAGAGCCAAAGTTGAATCGGATGTAGGATATGAATCTGATGAAATTAATACTACAGCACAAATTTAAAGCAATAATATGAGAATGTGTTATTTACGTCCCCTATCGCTGCTATTATATTAGGGTGTCTTATAAACAAATATTGCAAGTTAGATGGGAGCAGCTAAACAGCGTCATTTACGACACATCTTTGGACGTGTTTGAACGATGTTTTTCTCCTTTTTTCCTTCAATGTATACAATTATTTTCTAGTTCTTTCTTTATCACTGTTTTCTTTGGAATACTGCTCAATCCCCCACTAAAAAGCATGTTTATCATTATTACTAATATTTTTTTTGGGGGGGGATGCAAATAAGGAGCTTTTAATTTCAGGTTCCGTTTGCGCACATAACAAACAGACACGCCAAGCAACTGAACTGGTTTCCAATCCATTAATAACGAACATCATTTTATGGTGCATAGGGTGTTGGGTACCAACCTATATTGTGTCTTATATGCAAAAGTGAAGAATCCTATATACTGCAAGAAAATGAGCGATTTCACAATAAAAAAATTTGTTGTTGGGGAGGGGAGCGACTACAAGCCGAACAGGTTCAATATTGACCCTCGCCTCGGGGCTGCGATTCACCTCGAAAATTGACTGTCCAATTGCTATTTTCCTAGTCCAACGACGTTTAGAAACTTAATTAATTTTTTCAAAAAAAGTCGACATATTGGCTGCCACTGCCCAGATATTAATAAGCCTCTGAAACTAATGACGTCACACTTTGTTTACGTGTGTGCTTTCCTATGGTGCTCAGTGGACCGTGGACCCCCACTGGCTCTATAGGAAAATGGACATGTAAACAAAGTGTGAAGTCATAAGTACAGATATTTTTTCAGCACAACTCAGGTTGTGTTCATTTGTGTGC